ATGAATGGAATGCACATAATGAATAGGTGGTTGACTGCAATCTGGCAGCAAAGAGGGAGAGATAGGAAACAGCGGCATCCCATCAGCTTTGCGGAGAGCCCAGCTTCAACTGACTTGTCCTCTGCATGAAACTGTTTCTTTTCCAGCTGATAATTTCTTTCCTCCTCTTTGTCCATTCCGCTTTTTTATGTCCTGTCTTTTGGACTATAAACCTGTGGGTATTTTTAATTATTTTTGCTGATCTCATACAACCTGTTTGGGGAGCCATTTTGCTGAAGGGTAGGGTGAAGAAGAAGAAGAAGAAGAAGAAGAAGAAGAAGAAGAAGAAGAGCCACGAGATTTGACATTGGTTCAATACCTGAGCAAGTTGGAGGTATGCTAGGTTACTGTGGGTGCTCTACGTTTGTGGCCCTTTCCCCATTAAACAAAAAAAGCAAAACAAAAAACCCCAAACCATCAGAAAGTATAATTCCATAAAAGGAAAGAAAAGGTCACAAGCCTGCACTAGACTGGAAGGGGGAAAATCTTGTTCAGATAAGATCAGTCAGAAGGTGGCATATGATGTGCAGATGAATTCCATGCCCAACTGGCCTCAAGCAAATGAGCTTTCACTGTTTCAGTTATGAATGGGAGTAATGGGTCCAGATGTTGGGTGTAAAGAGTTACGTCAAATGTTCAAAGGCATGTTAAGCTTTAGTATTACAGTAGAGCAATCATAGGGACAGGGGTGGTGCTGTGGGTTAAACCACAGAGCCTAGGACTTGCCAATCAGAAGGTCGGCAGTTCGAATCCCCGTGACGGGGTGAGCTCCCGTTGTTTGGTCCCAGCTCCTGCCCAACTAGCAGTTCGAAAGCACGTCAAAGTGCAATTAGATAAATAGGTACCGCACCGACGGGAAGGTAAATGGCGTTTCCGTGCACTGCTCTGGTTCTCCAGAAGTGGCTTAGTCATGCTGGCCACATGACCCGGAAGCAGTACGCCGGCTCCCTCGGCCAATAAAGCGAGATGAGCGCCGCAACCCCAGAGTCGGTCACGACTGGACCTAATGGTCAGGGGTCCCTTTACCTTTACCTTTTTAGAGCAATCATGGTTCCAGCAACCATACTGCCCTAATTCAGGTAATGAGATGGCATATTAATAATAACACAAGTGTATTTATGTAGCATTTCCCCTAAGTGTTCAAAACACTTAATACAGTCATACCTCGGGTTGAAGTTGCTTCAGGTTGAGCGTTTTCGGGTTGTGCTCCGGGGCGACCCGGAAGTAACAGAACACATTACTTCCGGGTTTCGCAGTTCACACATGTGCAGACGCTCAAAATGAAGTCACGCGCATGCGCAGAAGCGGCGAATCGCGACCCGCACATGCGCAGGCGTGGGTTGCATTCGCTTCAGGATGTGAACGGGTCTCCGGAACGGATCCCGTTCGCATCCAGAGGTACCACTGTATAGATATATATGCAGTGGGGTTGTTTGTTTGTTTGTTTGTTTGTTTAAAAAAGAAGCATTGATATTAATATCTAGATCAGGGGTTGTCAACCTGGTCCCTACCACCCACTAGTGGGCATTTCAGGATTCTAGGTGGGCGGTAGGGGGGTTCTACGGCACAACCTGAATCCTTCCATCGAGCACTGGTGGGCAGTAAGGAAATTTTACCATCAAGAAAGATGCATTAGTAGGCGGTAGGTATAAAAAGGTTGACTACCCCTGATCTAGATGTCATGGGTGGCAGCAACAGCAAAAAAAAAATTGTGCTAGTACTCACTGAGTAATCACATCACAAAAAAACCTCTCTCTGTCTCTCTCTTTAACAGGGGTGCCCAACTCCTGATATACCCTCACATGCAAGTGTTTCTGGCTCCCAATGTCTGACCAGCCCTCCCACCTTCTTCAAAGTTGACACAGCACTGGTGTGGACAGGAAGATTTAAACCTCTCCACCCAGCCAATGCCCCTCGCCAGTCCTCAGGTTGTTCATTTGATGAGCAGGGAGCAGTGATTTTTTAAAAAAACAAAAACCACCCAACCCATGGAGGGGAGGGCAACCAGAATGATCAAGGGTCTGGAAACCAAGCCTTCTGAGAAACAGTTGAAGGAGATGGTTATGTTTAGCCTGGAAAAGAGGAGACTGAGAGGACAATTCTGAGCATTTGGTTTCCATATCAATCTGCAACCAAAGACATACTGCCAAGCCATTCCTAGGGCAGTAAAATGAGATCTGCCTACTGAATTCTGGTTTCAGGCAAGGACCGTTCCTAGCCCTACCTGTGGATGTCAGGGATTGAACCTGGAGCCTTCTACCTACAAGGCTGATACTTTGATGCTTCCTTCATCATGACAGCCTCCACACCCACACCCTCAAGGAGAGTCCAATCTATTAGGACAGTCACAAAGTAGTGAGCTACCAAAGGGCGGTGTAGTGGTTGGCACATTAGCTGGGAAGACCTGTCTGAGCCTAGTCTACATAACAAGACGATCATGTGCCAGGCCAGATCCGTCCTCCTATTGTCCACCCTCCTATTGTATTAACAAATCCCACATCCAGCAAATGATGTCATCACTCCTGCGATTATGGAGTGAGGGAGAGTTCTGTGCTCTCTGACTTTCCTGATCCACTTTGCTCCCAATGAATTAAATTCAGAAGAATAGTCAGATATATTATGGAGCAATGGAAGAGTTTCCTAAGTAGGTAGAACTTTGCATGTGTTTAGATAAGAATCAGACCAGGGGTTTAGTCAAATCAAGCCTCTGTACTTTCTGAGTCACAGCCTTGAAAGGCGGCAACAAAGTCTTGTGGAAGAAAGAAAATTCCTTAACTCTAGTTCCTTGTTTCCAGGTAATATGGCAAGGCCTAGCTGTGTCCCAAATTTTTCTGTTTGCTAACAGAAACACTGTTTGTTTGTTTGTTTGTTTGTTTGTTTGTTTGTGCCGTGCTGGATGTTACAAAAACAACCAGTGCTATTTTTCTAGAAAAAGAGGTGCTGAAACACAACATAAACACCTCACTTGTTCTCTTACAATGGCAATGGCACCTGCCTGAGAGGTGCTAGAACTGATTTATGCTGAGTTCCAGCTGAAAAAAGCCCTGCCTAGAAAAATATGGGATTTTGCTATTCACTTCTTTATTGGATTAGGCTGCAACACTATGCCCACTTAACCAGGGAAACATCCCATGGAACTGAACTAGACGTAGTTTTGAGTATAGATGTATAGGATTTGTTAGTTCATAATCCACACTTTCATAAAGTATAACAAGGTGGCTGACATCATACATTATGTAATAAAATCAGTCTATAAATAGCAATAAAACATCATTTGAAACATCAATAAAACATCAGTAGGTACTGGCTGGTTAAAAATAGAAATTCATCTTGCGAAGGCCTTGTAAAGGATTGCACTTCAGGGCTTCAGACACAGATTTCTATACCACACCATGTTAGGGACGTGGGTGGTGCTGTGGTCTAAACCATTGAACCTCTTGGGCTTGCCGATCGGAAGGTCGGCCTTTCGAATCCACGTGACTGGGTGAGCTCATGTTGCTCTGTCCCAGCTCCTGCCAACCTAGCAGTTCAGAAGCACGCCAGTGCAAGTAGATAAATAGGTATCACTGTGGTGGGAAGGTAAACAGCGTTTCTGTGCACTCTGGTTTCTGTCACGGTGCAAGATGAGCGCTGCAACCCCAGAGTCACCTTTGACTGGACTTAACCATCCAGGGGTCCTTCACCTTTTTTACCACACCATAAAATATTGTTACGTAATAACACATTATTAACGTTACAAATAAGATATAATGTGCCCATTACGTTATGAAAATCATTCCTTAACCCTCCCTTAGTATTATAAACCATGAGTTGAGATTCTTCCCAGGTCTTTTCTAACACAAATAGAAGCCTCACTCCTTTGATCCTTACTTGTGCTAACACCTCATAACCCCAGGCTACTACCTCGAAGGAAATCAGACTGACTCAATTAACACAGTTTAGGAAGTTTGCCCAGCTTAATTAGCTTTTCATATGTGCCAATACCAGATGCTTAGAAGTGGGTTGAACACACATCCTAATGCATGCAGGTTTAGCTTACATTCTGACACTTGGTAGTTTGACGTACAGTTTTATCGCACCAGCGCTCTAATTAAATTCTAACATTTACTGAACCCAGGAACTTAGCACCTACAAACCCATAGGCACCATTGTTTCTAAGTACTGGTCATTCCAAAAATCCAAAGCGGAAAGACAAGCCTTTGCTGATTTTTAAACAGAATCTGGTATAAGAGCCATTGCTTGGTGGTTCAATAGCTGTCATCCACACAGCCATGACCCAAAATAGCCAACAACAGAGACCGTTCCTGCTCAAGGAAAATCTCACCTAACCAGTCTTTTTAGGTAAGGGACAAGATGGACGGGGTCCTGATCCCAGTAACATTACTGATCCACTGATAGCTATGTTACAATGTCAAAACATTCCCAGGCTGTGTCAATATTCCTTTTCTGTCAATCTTACTCTTTTTGGGGGAGGGGGGGGAATGGAGTCTCACAGTGACCTTGGTTGCAGATCAACAAGGAAATAAAATGCACGATCTTGGATTAAAAAAGGGCCACAAGTTTACAATCTCCAATTGTACAAGTTCTTTTTAATTGCTTACTTCCATTCTCCGGTATACACGTATTCACAAGACAGTAGATGCTGTCTCTTGCTACATTATTCACCCCAAGTGACCCCAAGCTGTCTCAGAGCTCAGAAGCAGTTGAAAGCACCATTCCTGATTCCTCACAGCCCCCACACATTAAATGATGCGCCAAGGACCTTCTGAGGCCCATTAGCTTTGGGTGAGAAATGCCATCCAGCCCTCTATTTTCCCTGAGACTAGTAGTCCTGATAAGTAGATCTATGGAAGCCCATTCCAACTTTCAACTCATGCCTCTGCGATGGGTGTTCAGGCTTTGTCTCTCTCTCTCTCCACCTGAACTGACCCCAACATCTATGACCTCATAATAATAAACATCACTGCCGCAAGGAGTGAGATGTGCAGGGCAGAGTCGCCAACAGGGAGATGGGATCCCTGAGTAAGAAAATAACTATTAAGTCACAAAGAGGAATGAATGAGTAGATGCCAAACAATTTGGAAACTGTTAGAAAGCTGGTTTACCTTATATACAGTGGCGGAGGAAGCCCATAGGGGCATAACACACTGCAGGGCCTCAGAATCTGCCTGCCTCCTCCCACTCAGCTGCCACACAGCTGGGGGAGAGGCAGCGGGCGGACCATTTGGGCAGGAGAGATGTGTGGCTCAGGTGTGCTGCAGGCCCTGCGGTGAGTGCCGTTGGGCATTTTGTCACCCCCCGCAGTGGTGGCACCTGGGACGGCCCGCAACTACCACACACCCCTTCCTCTGCAGTATATTTCCACTTTGGGATGGCCAGCCTGCATAGGACAGTTGTGGCCTGCTCAGATATATCCTTCATCTTCTGCTCTGTACCATATACAAATCCACACACACACCTACATGATGTGAGGGGAGGAGAAAGGTGTGGGATTCTGCCTTCGGCAGCACAATATAGAAATATCCTTTTGAACCAAATGATTCTAGAAAAAAAGTTTTGGCCCCTCCTCCCTTGTTTATCCTCCTTGTCTGGGACTCACACTGCAGCTTTTCAAAAGAAGCTCGATTAAGAAATACGTCTGTTGTCATCTTATTGCCACATCATCCTGCAAATGCCAAGGATGTGTCCACCCATTTGAGTTCTTTAAAAAGCAGATGCAGGAAAGGCAAAGCTTTTGCCTGTCTGCTGCCAGGATGGGAGAAACAAATCCAGCGAGAAACTCCAAGTGTTTCCATTTCTTCTTGCTTGGCTTCATTGGTTCCCTCCTCCTTCAATCTGCATCGGGTCGCGAGCTGGTGTTTGTGCTCTTAGTAAGTAAAGGAAAGCAAATATTTCGTTACTACTATGCGTTTGGTTTGTGGGTTCTTCAAGACGAAATTCTTGGGGCTGTGTCCAATTTTAGTTCTACTCAGAGAAGACCCATTTAAAGTAATTGATATGACTAACTTGGGTCCATTCATTTCAGTGTGTCTAAACTTAGTTGGAGCCCACCCTTGGTGTACAGCTCTCCAAAGGTTTCATGAATTAACTAGACTTTCAATGGTGGGTTTTCCTCTCTCCTATATTTACAGAAGGGACGCGGGTGGCGCTGTGGGTTAAACCACAGAGCCTAGGACTTGCCGATCAGAAGATCAGCGGTCCGAATCCCCGGGACGGGGTGAGCTCCCGTTGCTCGGTCCCTGCTCCTGCCAATCTAGCAGTTCGAAAGCACGTCAAAGTGCAAGTAGATAAATAGGTACCGCTCCGGCGGGAAGGTAAAGGGCGTTTCCGAGCACTGCTCTGGTTCACCAGAAGTGGCTTTGTCATGCTGGCCACATGACCCGGAAGCTGTACACCGGCTCCCTCGGCCAATAAAGCGAGATGAGCGCCGCAACCCCAGAGTCGGCCATGACTGGACCTAATGGTCAGGGGTCCCTTTACCTTTACCTTATATTTACAGGAGTGGGGGAACCTGTGGCTCTCCAGATGTTGCAGGATCACAACTTCCATCATTCTTGACCAGTGGCCATGCTGCCTGGGGCTGATGGGAGTTTTAGTCCAACAACAGCTAGAGGGCCACCGTTCAGTAAGCCTGTACACTATAAATTAAAAACTGATGCTAACACATTCCGCCGGTTGCTTGAATTATTTTAAGATGCACTTGTGTTTAATGAGGGAGCTTATGCCTCTTTAGTAAAGAACATGCAGTCTCCCTATAGCTTTTAGAGATATAACATGCATCAGAATGTTAAAGAATATAAAGATAACAATTGAAATGCTTCCTGGCCTTCAAGTGTAATGAGCTCATCTATAAACAAACTCAAAAGAGCAGCCATTTTAGATTGCTGCCATTAAGATACTGCTCTATCAGATACATGAGGTTCAAAGGGAGGATAATCACAGCCTACGTGTAAATAGATATACAGTTTTACAAGGTGAGCATAGGACAGCATCCTGATAGAAGGGATAAAACATACTATTGAACCAGCTGACGTCATGAAGACATAAGAGGCTTGCTGGATAGGACCAAAGACCAGTCTAATGTGTTGCCACAATGACCAACTTGATGCCTATGGAAGGTGGGAGATGACTGCAATAGCCCTTTCCTGCTCATGAGACCTCAGAACTGATATTCAGAGGGATATTGACATTTTGGAGAAAGTAGACAATGGGTATACACATGCAGTAACGATTCAGTTCAGACCCTAATTTTATGCTTTGGGAAACAATTTGCTTAGGTCTGATTATCCAGCAAAACAATGCTTTGTGCTTTCCCCATTAAAGGATTATTATTTTATGGGCAATGTATACAGTAGAGGTAATAGTAAGAAATCTCTGAAATTGCACAGTGCTGGTGCTTTTGAAACTGGTTTGAAGTGCAAAGTGGATTTGGTTGGAGTGGATACATGGGCGTGTTCCAGGGAAGCAGAAGAACCTGAACTTCCAGCATTTTACAAACAAACCCCATTAACAGAACGAGCAAATAGCGCTGAGCGGATAAGGACAAGGTGATATATTACTTCCACATCCCTTTCCAAAGCAGGGCCAGCCCAAGGCGTTTTGCTGCCTGAGACAAAGAACAAGTCGGTCCCGTCCCACCCCCACATTCCACAGGCAGAAGCTGACTGGCTTGGAAGTTTATTTTTATTTAATACTAGTGTTGGGACAGTATTATTCACCACACCTGAGGACAGCAGGCTAACTTAAAGGTAGCACAGCAAGTTGCAGGACATACACAACTCCGTCCTCTGATAGAGGGGAATGGTTAAGTGGTTCAGGAGGAAGCGGGGTAGGCTACCACTGCTGACTCCCACCCACATTCCCCAGGACCTGAGTTCTGTGGAAGAAGGCAGGTGGTGGGGAGGGGAACCCCCTAATATTGGCTTTGTAGAGATCAATGATCACATGCTCGGAGCAGCTTTCGAGGCAACTTCGATTGCCTGGAGATGTTCGTTTTCTTTCTCTCATTTTGCCCACTCCCCATAACTGCTTTACAGTAGTGGTCAGCTGTGTGGTAGCGCTCACCTGATCTCCTGCCGCCCATGTTGCTTCTGCTTACCGGCAAGTAGATCAAAAGGGTAGCAGGGTGCAAACGCGTTGGCAGGAGGCCCAGAATGGCTCTGCTGGTGTGTTTGCATCGCACCAGCTTCATCTCCTCCTCTACCTCCCAGTGAGCTGTAGGAACATGGGCAAAGTGAGGTCAGGTGAGTGATGCCATCTTACCATCTGACTGCTACTGCTACATATCACTGGGATTACAAAGGAGCTTGCGAGCCATCCAAGTTAAAGTCTGGTGATCCTTCTCATCAAGTTGCTGAAAGTAAATTGGAAGGCTAAAATTGTATTGGCTAAACAGACTTGAATAAATTATTTCAACTTTCCCCCATCTTTACCTCACAGCCTTTCCTAGTTTGCCGCTGGCATAATATATTATTAATATCTAGCCCCCAAGTGAAGTTATGTTTTGGTGCTTGCTGAGTCTCCCCCCCCCCCCCATTTCTATCATAATTACCGTATTAGACTATTTTACTTTAGCATTGTTCACCCTCTTTTACTAGATTTATCGGCATGGTGACAGAAGCCCTATTGAAGTCTATCCTAACAGCCTACACAATGAAAGTGCCTGGCCACAGGGATTTGGACAACTGACTAAGGTTTGTTGGCTTTTCATAAAGTTTGGTTTGAAAATTTTCAAGAAGTAGACTTCTGGAATTTGGAATTTGTACAAAATTTCATTCCAGCTCTAAGAGACATGATCCCCCATCCTCTGATAGTCACAGATTGCTGTGGGCCCTCTAACCTGACCTGTAGAGATCAGTGCTCTTGTCTCTACCTGACTTATCCAACACCCAAATCCCTCTGAATGTGCCTGATTTGGCTCAGGACTTGGAACTCGGGTGAATATGGTGCACAGCTCTAATAAAAGCGGCAATGGGTCTGTGATATAGCAGTCGAGAACCTTCCGGCTATGGGCTTGATTAGGCCTGCTAGGCCATCCTATTTGGCCTGCAAGACCATTTCAGCCCAGCTGCACCCACCTGTCAATCACCTCATGCCGTGTTTTGGGCAGGAATCAGATGCACACAAAACCTCATTCCCTCTCAAGTGTATCAAATCCCTTTCAAATTCAACCCAACAGAGAAAGGCACCAGATTCAAACAGTGCCAAAGGTTGAGCCATGGTTGCAAAGGAATCATCAGGAGCACAATCCCGACCAATCCTTTGCAGCCACGTCCCATGTGAAGTTGAATCAAAGGACTACCAGGAGTGAACTGCCAACTGTTCATTTCCAGCCACAGCTTTAGTTTGGGTGCCGATTGTACATGGCACCTTACCTTGTCATGCTGCTTTCAACTGGAATCAGATACGCAGGAGCTCTTGCTCACTCCAAGCGTATCCAATTCCTGCCAACCACAGTGCAACAGGGAGAGGCACCAAATTCAAATGGCACCAAAGGATCAACTGTGGCTCCAAAGGAACAATCAAGAGCACACTCCCAATGTCGCATCTGCAGCTGTGGCTTTAGCTTTTTCACATCTGATGTCACGTGCTTGACAAGTGAGCAGCCCTACCATTTGCCAGCCTGGCCCAGTGTTCCCCAAACTTGGATCTCTAGCTGTTTTTGGACTACAACACCCATCATCCATAGCTAGCAAGACCGTTGGTCAGGGATGATAGGAATCGTAGTCAAAAACAGCCAGAGATCCTACTTTGGGAAACACTGACCTGGCCCGTGGAGGAATTGCTATGTTTGGATCCGGCACTCTGGCAGAAAGCAGTTCCCTACCCCTGCTCTGAAATGTTTAATATTAAGAGCAAAAGGGTCACATGGTGGATCCACCTGCATGGAAAACTGATCCTCTCCAGCCTCTGATCATTTTTGTCACATTTCTTCAATCATTCCCTAGGAAAGCAGCCGGGGTGGGTAATGCTTGGCTTTCCACAAGGGCTGGAAAAGCCATAAGACCGAACTCTGGCTTCAAGAGGAAATCATGTATCTATTGTTGCTCCCACAGATTGGAATGCAGCAGCAGTATGAACTTGGAAAATACATAAAGAAGAGGTACTCAAACTTCCTGAGTGCTGAATATAAACGAGAAGAGGTGGGTAAGGGAATTTTCAAGAAAGAGATTGGTGTGGTTCATAACAACATCAGATCCTGAGAAAACCCAAGGGATGTTTTGATATTATTCATCAAACATTCCAGTGGTGTTAATAAGCCTCCTCCAGCAACGGTTACCACTTCTGGGTGTAGCATAAAGGAAATTTCTGGAGTAAAGCTTCTGGTAGTAGAGGTAGAGGGACCCCTGACCATTTGGTCCAGTCGTGACCGACTCTGGGGTTGCGGCACTCATCTCGCTTTATTGACAGAGGGAGCCGGCATACAGCTTCCAGGTCATGTGGCCAGCATGACTAAGCCGCTTCTGGCGAACCAGAGCAGCGCACGGAAACGCCATTTACCTTCCCGCCAGAGCGGTACCTATTTATCTACTTGCACTTTGACGTGCTTTCGAACTGCTAGGTGGGCAGGAGCAGGGACCGAACAACGGGAGCTCACCCTGTCACGGGGATTCGAACAGCCGACCTTCTGATCAGCAAGTCCTAGGCTCTGTGGTTTAACCCACAGCGCCAGCCACATCCCAAGCTTCTGGTATCTGATGATATTCGAAGGGAGACATTCCTTTGGGTTGGCAACAGATGAAGCACAGTCCTTATACACTTATTCCTCTTCATCAGTAGAGGCCTCTGCTAGAGAGGGTCCCTCAAAGGCTACCAAGCTGAGATGCCCTCAGATCCCATGACACCCTCCCACTTCTAATGAAGAGGTTTCTGAGTCCAGATCCTGGGTCTTGACACACTCCCTTAACCCTTTCTAGATTTTGATCCAGAGTACCGAAAGTGATCGAACCATTATGAGTGCCCAAGCAAATCTTGCTGGTATGTACCCTCCTACGGGTGATCAAATCTGGAATCCTAAAATCCTGTGGCAACCTATCCCGGTGCACGTTGTACCAAAGGAAAGAAATCCGGTGAGTACCAGAGTCATAACCAATTTTGTCTGCCTTCCAGGCTCTTCCTCAGAAACCTAATACAGTATTCTGAGAAGGAAGTGTATGCAAATGTTCATTTAAAATTATCATTTCCCTTAATCAGAGATTCTGCAACATATAGAAGAAGCACATGACCATTTGTAGCTCATTTATTTATAGCCCCGCCTTACTTTCTGCTGAAGGAAACAGCATTTGAATTTAGGATTTGGGGGCCATGCTCCCTTTGAGGATGAGTTGATTCCTTGACTTCTAGTTCTGACATAGCGAACTGTCTTGTCCTCCTGCAGGGACAGTTGGCTGTGTTGCAGCTGGTGTGATGTTGTAGCTGTTATCAGGGCCAATCCCAACACTGAATTAAATGTGCACATCAAAACCAGACAACTCTGTATCCACTGTACTGTTTTCAACAAAGGATAATGCTGCAGTTTGTACATGTATATAAAACTATATAAAGCTTTCTGTCTATTACTATTATATTTTTTCATACAACAGTAGCACCGACTGGACTTTCACAAGCAGCAAAATATATTGAGATGTTTCAGAGCTGCAAGGAGCTTTGGCAAAGATCCAAGCAGTATCTTACGCCACACTGTATGGTGCGACAGAAAGCACGCAGTATCTTTTCTTGCTTGAAGGTTTTTGTAGCTTTGGAGACTAAAGGACATTTGGAAAGCGTTTTCTTAAAGGCACAATGGAAACACGTCTCCCTTGCAAGTCTCCAATTGTTTCCTCAAAACCTTTTGTTGGGTTCTCCCTTACAACCCATTCCCAGCAGTATCACGATAGGCAGGTTATTTCCCAGGGCGAACCAAGAGAGTTTCATCAGTCGTCATCATAATCATCATCTGTCAAGTAACAGGAGAGCCAGGAATAATTAGTTCTCATTTTGATGCCTGTTGGTTGCATGCTGCTGCAGTTTAGTTGGGCAAGAGCTACTACACCAGTCATGTGGGGTCTAATAACTGGCAGTTATCCACAAGTGAATCTCTTAGACCTATTCCTGGTCACATAATCTGTGCTGCGCTGAACTGTAGGCCTCAAGCAGGCTTCCTCAACCTCGGCCTTCCAGATGTTTTTGGCCTACAACTCCCATGGTCCCTAGCTAGCAGGACCAGTGGTTGGGGATGCTGGGAATTGTAGTCTCAAAACATCTGGAGGGCTTAGGTTGAGGAAGCCTGGCCTCAATTGCTGTCACTATGGAGCTGCTGCTCAGGAAATGTGATGCAAGGGCAAATGGCTGATGTTCTTTCTCTCTCAGTTCTCTCAGAACTTAACTCTCCCCTCAAAATCTCCTCACCAAAACTCCCTTGTGTCAGGCAATGCAGGGTGTGGGGCGTTGAGGTGAAACCACCCCATGCCCAACCTCACAGTTCTGACAACATTCCTCACACGGAGCCAATTAGCTTTTTATTTATTTATTTATCTTTTTGTAGGCGGAAACTCCCATTGATACCAATGCGAGAGGTTCCTCTTTTCACTAAGTGGTGGGTGAGGGAGTTTTGTGAAGGCTGAGGTGGTGCAACTCCCCACACGCTGCATTACTCATTAATCGAGAGAGAACACTGAATATTAATTTAGCTTGACTCTGAGGATGCTTCCCTGCCAAACAGAAACGAGCTGCAGTCTTGATACCACACTGAACAGCCATTCCCAAAGCTGGAAAAGCAAGAATAATATAGCACACATTTTGAGGGATGAGAAGTAAGAATTTTGATCATCTCTTCCCCACCTTCTCTCATCTGTCTTCCACTCATTTCTGGATTTTGGCCTGCAATGTTTGCATCAGATGTTGGGAGGATAGAAAAAGGAACAAAACTTCTTAGGCTCAACTCCTTGATTCATAGAAACTCCTTAACACCACACAGACTGTCTGACATGAGTTCTAGTTCCTCACTGGGACGCCAAGCCCTTGGGACATACTCGCATTTATGGTGGGAATGCTCATAGGTTAAATGCTTTGGGGATACAGCAGTCCATGAAACTGGAACTATTATAAGGTGCCAAGTGACACCTTCTCCACAACAGGCAATATCTCCTTTATTCACTGAGGATTACACTGCTATGTACATTAAGGAATTAGTTGGGCACTTTCTTATTTGCAATTCACAACTGCAAAACTCTGCCGGGACTTGATATGAGTGAACCTGGTTTACTGGTATGGGATATTGTTACTAGAGGGAAATGACATTCAAATTAAGAGTGCTTAGAGGCCAAAATAAGAAAGATAATTTTATTTTGGTATGGCATGGTTGTGCAATGTACGTTAAAATACAGGAACATGGAAGATCTCAATATGCAGTTTCTAAACAGATTTGGATAATTTTAGTTCTACAGGGGTTCCAATCCCCTTTATAGTGTTTTCAGTTTTGGCAACCCTATGCCCAGAGATAGAAAATGGGAAAAAAATAAAATAAAATAAAATGATTCAGATGTTTATTTGATGTATTTACCTGAGTAAATCCTCTAATGAAGATGTTTAATACGTGCCTGCCCAGAGAGTTAACTCTAATCCAAACTGTATTTGCTGTAATTATATTTTGCTTTCCTTTTTATATGGTTCATGACAAAATGTATCTTATTTTCCTGTATGTTAAAAATAAGTAAACATTTATTTTAGGGGGGGGACTTATTAGGCTAAGCAAAAAACACGAAACAAAAAAGCAAGTCTGTTCTCAAAGCAAGACCAATGTTACAATACGTCATTCTGACAACCAGAAAATATCTCAGTGATCATCTTCACATTATTCTGTTAGTATATTAACAGCATGTCTATTTTGAAGCAGCTCCCATTGAGTTCAGTGGGGCTTACTGTATTTGTATGGATGGCGAGATCACTAAATCATGTGACTTCAAGCCAATGAATCCCTGCAGGTTATGAGACAGGTATAATTCAGAAATGGCGTCATTGTGACAAACATCAATCCTACATAGAGATAAGCACTCTACAAAAACCCAGCTGAGAAGCTTGAAGTGAGACAGAAGGCAGTTGCAAGCATAGCTGTCAACTGTCCCTTATTTGGCGGGAAACTCCCTTATCCCAGCGCCTTGTCCCGCTGCTGTCCCTTATTGATGATGTCCCTTAAATTTCCCGGCTTTCAAAGGAAGCAGCTCCTCTCCCTTCCTCCCTGCCGGCCAGGGAGGAGGAGGCTCCAACTGTGTTGCTTGGCTGCCCGGCCCACCCCCCTCTGGCCTCCTCTCACCAGCATCGGCCCCCGGGAGCCCCTCCCCACCGGGACTGAGGAGCCTTGAGAGGAGAGCGAGGGCAACCATAGAGAAAGCAGTTCAGAGAGAGGAGGAGGAGGCAGAGGCGGAGGCGAGGGCAGGTGTTCCAAGGGCTAACCATAGAGCGGGAAAGTGGAGGAAGGACCACAAGCGCTTCTCCCATAGATTTGTAGTGGTAAACTAGCCTAGATGGTCTGATCTGCGGGTTTACTTCGGGCGCTATTCCCCCCTCTTCCTCCCGCCCTGCCTGATGGAACTGAGAGCTGCAGATGGAGCATGAGAGAAAAGATACAGAAGTGCAGCAGCATCTTCGTGGCTTGGATGTCGTTTTTCGCAAAAAGTGGTTGCTGCTTGTAGTTATTTAATTGCAGTGTTTCATCAGCTGGTGTCTTGAGCAGCAACCTCTGGAAACGAAGGGCTAAAAACCAGCGCTGCTCTCCAAAATTATCTGGTCCCTTTTAACTTCGTATTTCAGCTGGTTGACTAAAATTCCTTATTTTGGCTGCTGATCCCTTATTTTCGAGGCGGCTGGTCCCTTATTTTCAAATCTGTAAGTTGACAGCTATGGTTACAAGTTGTGTCATTTTTGTTTCAGAAATTACGTTATCCAATTTTAAATTGTCCACGCTACCTGGAACTTCTGAAGGAAACGATGAAATCAAGTGAATTCCAGGCCAAAATTCAACCGTACAAGGTACTTTGTGCAGGATTGGGGATGGGTATTATGTCAGTAATATTTCCACTACAGCCTAGGTCCAGACATTTCGAACTCTAGTGGGTAATTGCATTACTGTTAGATTAAACCTCAATGTATCAAAACTAGCTTATTTAAAACATGTAGTATTTCTATATGCAAAGACCTATGCATACCGAACAATAAACACAGGCCCAGTTCAGATTATCAGTTCAGATGAGTAATTTGCCCACACATTGTGTTCGGATGCCACCTCTTCCTTCCTGTGTTAACCAGGAAATCTTCAGTCAACTATAATCCCTTAATTATTCCAAACTGAGAAATTTATGTTTAGAAAGTTCGGAACAAGCCAGGATCACAAACTAGGGTTGCCATACATCCAGAATCTTCCAGACATACCCAGAATACTGCAGTTGGAAACAGTGTCTGGGCAGATATTGGAAAATGTCCAGGAAAATCCATACATATGGCAACCCATGTCTCATGTCGGCAGTGTGATTGATTTTGCCCCAAAAGCTCAACAACTTTCCCCAAAAATGGTCAAGAGCTTTTGTGTCTGGATTTTCACTTTTTGAAATATAGCAACCCTGTCTTAAAACATGCTTGAAGTTGGTTTAAGATCCTGCATTTCCTGTTTATCCACTTTGGATGGAATGAGAAACTATGGTTAATTAAACTAGGGTTAATTCTGGGATAAATTGTGGTGCACTTTAAAGGGAATAAGGAAACTGCTGTATACCCAGGCACAAGGCTAAGTTTATATCTCAGCTAGTTATTAAGCCAAGGTATGATCAACTGAAACAAGCCACAGTGTTAGTGCAAAGCCTATGGCTACAATCCTCCACACAGACTGTAATAATACATAAGATGGATATTAATGTGACTTACCTATAGGGAGAACTGCAGCCTATGAAATCTTAAGTGGCAAGTGACTACATTCCACCCACCTATCCATGCTTAGCAGTGTGCAGAATCATAACCTGTGCGATGAAAATATTAGAAAATCTTGGTGTCTGATTTGCATCTGAAGTATTCGTGTTCTCATTTCTTTTCAGGAATTTATAAAAACCATAGGTTTATATTCAGGATATGACCCTCAAGATCTCACCAATTTGGTCAACTTCAAAATCTGGCATGTACAGGATACTTTATTCTGTGAGGTATTTTTCTCTTTTTAAAAAATCTTTACAGTTTTATTGAGTTCTCCCATCAGACAGGGAGAAAACCCTGACTTATAATTAATTATTCAGTGGCACCTAAGAAAATTAAAAGGAGTGAAGGTGTTCATATACAAGTACATAATAGTTAAAGAAAATATGGAATGTTTTGTCTACATATACATTTTATTTGGCTTAGAAAATGATGGGAAGGTGGATATTTTTGCAACTCATTAGAATATTTTGTCAGATAAAGGTAGGATTTCCAGAGAAAGGTACCAAGTACTGGGGCTGTTCAGATGTAACAGTAAACCATAGTTTGGAACAGGATAATCTGTGCACACACACCCATGTGTTGCTGATCTACATCTTTCCCTGCTTTCCTAATGGGAGCTGGAGTTCAGCCATAACTGGTAGGTCACAGATTTCCCATCCCTGATTTAGCAGACAAGCACAAACCATAGTTTGCCTTTGCAGATAGAATGGCAAGCTATGGTTTGACATTGAACCAAGACCTGAAGTTGCTATCTTGTAGAGAGCAACGGAAGAAAAGACAGCAGGGAGGTGAAGGAAAGATTGTATGAGCTTGAGTCTTATTACCGTCATACCTCGAGTTGAATGTGCTTCAGGTTGAGTGCTTTTGGGTTTTTGCCGCTCGCGCATGCGCAGACGCTCAAAATGACATCACGCACATGCGCAGAAGCGGCAAAACGCGACCTGCGCACACGCTGATGCGCCATCGCACCTTACGTTCCATTCAGGATGCGAACGGGGCTCCGGAACAGATCCCGTTCGCATCCCGAGGTACCACTGTATAAGGGCATTACATCTCAACAGACATTTGACATTACATCTCAACAGGTCCAGTCTATGGCACCTCAATCTGAACTGAATGAAAATTTGCTCAGACTTAAAAGCAAGGCCGGAGACAGCAAAAATATAAAGCCAGATAGAGCTCTATTGGCTCCTAAATCACCTGATCCTGCCTGAACGCTTCTGTTCAGACATGATGGCATTAGACTCGCCGTTCTCTCTGCCTTCAAGTTTCTTTGGTAGGTGCAGAGAATAAAGTTGCCAGGCCTTGTTTCCAGACTCCCAAATTTGAGCCTTCCAGAGCCTTCCAAGTTTGTATTCCATCTATGAACAGGGGTTATATCAACCATGTAGCTTTCAACAGCTTTTTGTGGCATGGTTTTGGTGCGCAGGAGAGCAAGGTAGAATCCATAGTGTGATTTACTACTTAGAGGGATCCTGCCAGAGTCAGAAAGCAAATCCAAGTGTGACATTGATGGCAGGAGCCCAGAGGTAGAGATGGGTGAGGAAATAGTTCAGTCTGCATTTTAATCTGAATTTACGCAATTTGCACTTCCTGAAACAACACACACACACACACACACACACACACAGAAACAATGGCCCAACATGGCAATAAAAAACAGAGCTACAAAATGAGGTATTTCAAAATAAGAGTAATGTGCTTCTTTCTATTGCAGTCTATTCACAATTTGACACTTCCTGTGTGGGCTGCTAAAGAGGTGAGGGCAAAACTGGCTGAGCTGACCGTGTTATCCTTGTCATCGTTATTTGGGATTTACAAAAGAGAAGAGAAGGCGCGGCTGCAAGGAGGTAACCAAGACCCTTTCACTGAGGCACTGTGATTGACTTCTCTTGCTTTGCAGCACACTCTAGCTGAAACGAGACAGGCCTTTGGGCTTGGGTGCTCTTAACTGGTGTAACTGGTACCTTAATTAACAAAAAGCCTTAGTGAGTTAATCAGTGCAAGCCAATTTTAATCAGTGATGGAGAATCTTAACTGGTGGAGCAGTGGTGTTGAGGAGCACATGTTCATTTTGTTTCGCTATTTTATTGTGGCATATGCTGGGCTTATAACTCATCCTTGCCTCTCCAGTTGAAGGATGCAGGCTCTGGGACGGGGTGGCTAACTGATGGTCCTCCAAATGTTGTTGAACTCCAACTCCAACCAGTGCCAACCAGCTAGTGGTCAGGGATTATGGGATTTGTATCCCAGAAACATCTGGAGAGCCGCAGGACAGTCACCCCATTCCTAGGACAATCCAGGGTGCTATCGAGCCCTAGAGGGCTCCAAATAAGTTGAAATGGACAAACAGGCAAAAAATATTTGATGATAAATGAATAGTTTGAGGAGTAGCTGAGGTGGACTGTGGTGCAATAATCTGGTTTTCAGTGTGGTTATGAAATAGTCTAGTGGTCTGGAGTTTTAAGTTCATACACAGGGTGGATCTACACTCATGGTTTATAACGCTAAGAAAACGTTTCAAAAAGGCCACCACCTGTCTGATATCCATTGGAAGGGTGTTCCACAATACTGGGGCCGCTGCACTAAAAGCTGCATTACAACATGGAGCATGCAACAATGCAAGAAGCATCTCCCGTTATGACTGCAGCACTAATATATACAGTGGTACCTCGGGTTAAGTACTTAATTCGTTCCGGAGGTCCGTTCTTAACCTGAAACTGTTCTTAACCTGAAGCACCACTTTAGCTATTGGGGCCTCCCGCTGCCGCTGCACCACCGGAGCACGATTTCTGTTCTCATCCTGAAGCAAAGTTCTTAACCTGAAGTAATATTTCTGGGTTAGTGAAGTCTGTAACCTGAAGCTTATGTAACCCAAGGTACCACTGTATAGGATAAAGCAATCTCCCAGGTATCCTGGTCCCAGCTCTTAAGGACCAGTACTAAAACATTAAACCTGGCCCAGTACCATGGTAGATCCCTCAGTGTAGATCCCTCAGCACAGATGTTATATGCTGATGATAGGTCCAGTGCTGATGATAGGTCCTATTGCAGAGAAACAGCAATAACCTCCTGGCAGTAACAAGAATGTGTGGGTTAGGGTATTTTTTCGTATGTATTCATATCTATTTTCCTACACATTTTTGTTTCTATTTTTCTTCTTCTCTTTTTCTTTGTATCGCTTTATTTCTTTATCAATGAAACCTTTTCGATAAAATTTTCAAGAAAATATTATTACACACACACACACACAAAGTCAGCAAGAACGTTGGGGATGTGTGGTGCACCAGCAGAGACACAAACTGGCACTCCCACCAGGGACCCAGCATCAAACTAGCACTGTGTCACTGCTGCCGGGAAGTTATTGCTGTGGCTCTGCCCCACCTGGTGAACCACTCCTGAACAGGTTGCCCCAGTTATAGCATCCTAACCGCCATGTTCTGCTCCAGATGCACTTTCTGAGGCAAGCCCTGGGGCACCCCACATAGAATGCCTTTCAGTTTTTAGAAAGCCTAGAGTTTTTTAAAACAACTGAGTGGGCAAATTATTAAGTGTCTTTTAACTGCAGCTAAAACATACCATTTGGAACTTGGAAACAGCTTTTCCAGTTTACGGATCTATCACCTATATGCCCAGTAGATTGTGCCAGCTGTTAATACCTCAATGCCAATAACATGATGTATCAAACACCCACACAAACTGAGGCACGAAAGGAAACACTCAGGTGTTGCCTGACCTGAATTTCATCTCACTGTATTAGATGAGCACTCCCATCATTGCACTGACATTTCACGTGCCTTCCTCCTTCTAATTATTGGCTGCGTTCCTAAAGTGCTTACCTTTGGTTGGATCATGTCCCTTCTAGCTTTGCCTTAGTTGTCTTGCAGTACTTATGTTTATATTATTTCATCACACTCGTGATGCTGCAGTAAGTGTATTTATTTCTAAATATCTTATTACAGTGGTACCTCAGGTTACAAATGCTTCAGGTTACAGATGCTTCAGGTTACAGACTACGCTAACCCAGAAATAGTACCTCAGGTTAAGAACTTTGCTTCAGGATGAGAACAGAAATCGCATGGCGGCAGCAGGAGGCCCCATTAGCTAAAGTGGGACTTCAGGTTAAGAACTGTTTCAGGTTAAGAACAGACCTCCGGAACGAATTAAGCTCTTAACCTGAGGTACTACTGTATCATATATATTTTTTCTAAATCTGTAATTGGCTCAGGAAACATAAATATGTTGTAGTGATGAAAATGAAACAGTCTGTGACTGTTTACATTTGAAATGTAATTTTCTTAAAATGGGAAATTTAAAGTCACATCTTATTGTTGCTGGGGTTTTTTGTTTTTGTTTTGTTTTGTATATAAAAGTATTTCTATATGCCCCTACCCTAAAATATCTGGCTAGTGTACCGCGTTAAAACATAAAAAACCATAAAAAAATAATAAAATGCAGATAATCACTAAGGTGACCGGCTAAAACTAAAAATTAAACAGCTACAAAGATCTGTCAGCATTAAAAGATCTTCGTGAGAAGCCTGAAACTCAAAAGCGAGGGTGCCTTCTGAGTCAGCATTGGACCAGCAGTGTTAAATGCCCTGACTTCTAGTTGAGCCCTGTAATGTAAGGGACTGCTTCTTGGGAGAAAAGCAATGACAAACCTAGACAGCATCTTAAACAGCCAGAGACATCACCTTGCTGACAAAGGTCCGTATAGTTAAAGCTATGGTTTTCCCAGTAGTGATGTATGGAAGTGAGAGCTGGACCATAAAGAAGGCTGATCACCAAAGAATTGATGTTTTTGAATTATGGTGCTGGAGGAGACTCTTGAGAGTCCCATGGACTGCAAGAAGATCAAACCTATCCATTCTGAAGGAAATCAGTCCTGAGTGCTCACTGGAAGGACAGATCCTGAAGCTGAGGCTCCAATACTTTGGCCACCTCATGAGAAGAGAAGACTCCCTGGAAAAGACCCTGATGTTGGGAAAGATTGAGGGCACAAGGAGAAGGGGACGACAGAGGACAAGATGGTTGGACAGTGTTCTTGAAGCTTCCAACATGTGTTTGACCAAACTGTGGGAGGCATTGGACGACAGGAGTGCCTGGAGTGCTCTGTTCCCTGGGGTCACAAAGAGTTGGACATGACTAAATGACTAAACAACAACAACAATGTAAGGGACAGTTAGCAGCGGTCCTCTAAATGATTTTAATGATCTCACTGAGATATAAGGGCTTGTACAGCGTCCATTTAGATACACACTGAATTATCATGATCTCTGGGCATAACTATCTATATTCCAGTGAGAATCACAGTTGAAAATAGCACCAGTATTGGACTCACAACTCACCCAGGGCACTTGCTAATTGCATGCTATCAGTGACTGATGATTGGATTTGGAATTATATTTATATGTAATCGCTTGAGTGCTTGTTTCCCATGCTATAAGGACATAGCTGCCACTCTTGGCGATTTTTCATTTCAAATAGAAAGAGGCAACAGAAAGACAATCTAGCAAAACTATTCTAGTAACTATTGACAGTTTTTAATTCAAAGCTATAAAACACATCAGACTTGAAGTTAAGTACTGATAAATTCCATTTATTTCAGTTTAGAGAAACAGGCTGCATTCCTGTATGCACCTACCTGGGAGTGAGTCCATTGATCTCAGTGGGACTTACTTCTTGGTAGACATGTACTGTATAGGAATGTGCTTTTAAACATCTGCTTGACCCTCCTGTTGACCAATGAATAACAAGTATTAATTAATTAAACTTGAACACTGCCCTTCATCCGAAGAGCACAGGGCAGCTCACAAGATAAAAATACAAAGCAACAACACAAAATACATGATACACCAAAAGCAAAACAATATAACCCCCCCTCTCACAAACACATTATAAAGGACATAGAATGTTTAATCAGCCAAAGGCCTGGTTATAGAGAGACCAATGACAATTTTGTCGGGATGGTGCCCCTGTTAATTGCTGGAGATTGCATAATTGGCTAAGATATTATTGCCATTCATTATTATATTGAATCAATTCTTTTTTTGCTCCTTTCTATGCTATCCTGTATAGAAACCTCACAATTTACAGGGCAATCCTAACCTTGACTACTCAAGAGGTCATTCCTCTGTAAATTCAATGGCGCTTACTGCCAGATAAGTGAGATTCAGACTGTAGGTTTAGTAATTTTGCAGTATTTTTTTCTCCATCAATATCAACACTATCTCACTTCTACTAAGGTCTCCTTGTGAAAAATATTCTAGAAAAAATCTCCAGGGCTGCTAAAGGTTCAGAAAAGAGGAAAATGCTCGTCTATTCTGCAGTGAGTATATTTCCCCTAAAAACTTTGGTTGAAGTTGGGGGCATAGTTCGGCTGATCAATCTCAATTGGAATTTACTGTGTAATCCTAGATAGAACTGAGTTCACTGGGACTTGCTCCCAGGTACGTGGGTATAGGATTATACCATTAAGCAGTTTAAATCTGTGCAGGATTCCGCACTGTATCAAATTGGCTTTTAAGTTTAAAACCCCAAGATGCTATTCACTCTCTAGCAAGCCTAAGACTAAATGTACTTGTCAGAAGCTGGTAATGAGAAAATGAGCCTGTCTCTTTCCGTCTCTGTGGATTCAGCTCTACAGCTGCAAATTAAACGTTTTAAGTGTGCTGTAAAGTGCATTATACAAATACGACACTAGATGGTGATGGTGAGCTATGGCACATTCTATATATTTTTCAAACTTTTTTTTAAAAAGCATTTTCACAACTTTTTTTATATGTGTCTAGATTCTGTCTGTCTGTATCTTTCTATGTGTGTGAGAGAGAGAGAGGAGAGAGAGATGGAGAATGGGTGAAGGAAGAATATATGTTATACATTCTCAAGTCTGCTGAATAGTGTTCTGCATCTAGCAATTAATGAAAAGGTTTCAAATTAGCAATATCACCAATAGTTACCTTTAGAAGCTACCTTCATTCACAAAACTTTACAGATGTATGTTTGGGTTTATTTTTCACAGCACGACACTACACTTGGTGCCTTGCAGATGGCACTCAATATCTACAATGAAAAGCTGCCACCATATGCAGCTTGCCAGTTTTTTGAACTGTATCAAGAAGATAACGGGCAAGTATTCTATTGTTTCCTCAACAGTTGGAACTTTTTCCGCTGCAAATGGGGAAAAAATATATGCGTGGATTCAAATTCTAAAATTACTGTCCATGTACTGACTGTTCCCCAAAATGCATGAGGCTTAAATCTAGGGCCCAGAATCACAATGGCGTTTTGTCTACCTAGCTTTTCAGATTTATTTATTTTTAAATCTCTTAGTGGCTAATGTGGTTAAAACATGGGCAGCAATATAGATAAATAAGGACAACCTAAAATATCAGCCACCAAGCTCAGCAGCAAACAGGAGTCCTTAGGAGTGTGCGTCAATGTCAGGGCATCTCACCCAAAAAGGGCCTGTCATAGAATCATAACATTGTAGAGTCAGAAGGGACCCCGAGGGTCATCTAGTCCAACCCCTGCAATGCAGGAATATGCAGCTGTCCCATATGGGGTTCGAACCTGCAACGTTGGCTTTATCAGCACCTTGCTCTGACCACCCGAGCTACCCATGCACTTCTCGCTCACCTCACTTCGGAAGCTGGGGAGGGCAGGAGCTGAAAATGTATTTCTATGAGGAATCTTAATAGATGGGTACCCGCCAAAACCCATTTAGTTTAACCCTAGACTCATTACAATACAACTGAGAGGTTTTAATTGCCATACGTTGCCCAGGTCAAGACTGAGATCTGCTTTTGCCTGTGTGGTATTACAGACTCTGGGTTTAGTTGTTCTCGAATAACTGTGGCTGTCGAGGCCTTTCCTTTTCATTCCTGAATAGCACTCCTCATATCGTTATAATTTAACTTATGCTACATTTTCCTTCTTCTTTTTTCCCTTGGTTCTGCAAATCAGAGAGCAAACCGTTGAAATGTATTTTCGGAATCACACTATGAAGGACCCCTATCAACAAACTCTTCCTGGTTGCTCATCTGCGTGTCCCCTGCCAAAGTTTGCTGACCTGGTTTCTCCCATCCTAGTAGACGACTGGGCCAATGCATGCGGGAACATAGAAAAAAGAAAAGGTATTGTAATTTCCTTAGCTAGCCACACATGATCATCAGTACAGAAATGGCTGAGAGCTGTATATTGGCTATTGTACCAATATGAAAGCAGGGCTGGATCTACACTGATGAATTAAAAAACGTTCCTCCATAGCAATTCAGTTTCCATTACTGCTGGCTCCTGGTTTCTCTGCAGCACCCTTTGGTGTCACATTTGAATAACACATTATTAATGTTACAAGCAAAACGTAATGTGACCACCACATTATGAAAAGCATTCCTTAATCCTTCCTTAACGTTATAAACCATGAGTGTAGATCCGCCCCAGATGTGAGCAGTTGATTACTCAAGGCAAAAGTGGCCACCATTTGGGCAGTGCTGCTCAAAAAAGCATTGCCAATTAGTTTTGTTTGCCCTCCAGTGATGTCATCACATCGACAAACATGATTGGCTGTGTTGCACTGTGATTTCATCTTGTTTCATTGTATAGTTCCCCAACTGGCTGGTGATCACCCAGAAATGCAGTAATCAGAAGCCACAAAAGGGGGGCTAATTGTGGCAGCAGGCAGGAGAGGAAAAGTAACAATAAATATGAGTGAGCAATCACACGTGGATGTCACAGTTTGGGGGAGGAAGAGGCAATATCGTTATAATAATAATAATAATAATAATAATAATAATAATAATAATAATTTATTATTTGTACCCCGCCCATCTGGCTGGGTTTCCCCAGCCACTCTGGGCGGCTTCCATCGAAACAAAAAATACAGTAAAATATCACAGATTAAAAGCTTCCCTGAACAGGGCTGCCTTAAGATGCCTTCTAAATGTCAGGTAGTTATTTATCGCTTTGACATCTGATGGGAGGGCGTTCCACAGGGCGGGCGCCACTACCGAGAAGGCCCTCTGCCTGGTTCCCTGTAGCTTTGCTTCTCGCAATGAGGGAACCGCCAGAAGGCCCTCGGCGCTGGACCTCAGCGTCCAGGCAGAATGATGGGGTGGAGACGCTCCTTCAGGTATACTGGGCCGAGGCCATTTAGGGCTTTAAAGGTCAACACCAACACTTTGAATTGTGCTCGGAAACGTACTGGGAGCCAATGTAGGTCTTTCAAGACCGGTGTTATGTGGTCTCGGCAGCCGCCCCCAGTCACCAGTCTAGCTGCCGCATTCTGGATTAATTGTAGTTTCCGGGTCACCTTCAAAGGTAGCCCCACGTAGAGCGCGTTGCAGTAGTCCAAGCGGGAGATAACTAGAGCATGCACCACTCTGACGAGACAGTCCGCGGGCAGGTAGGGTCTCAGCCTGCGTACCAGGTGGAGTTGGTAGACAGCTGCCCTGGATACAGAATTGACCTGCGCCTCCATGGACAGCTGTGAGTCAAAATGACTCCCAGGCTGCGCACCTGGTCCTTCAGGGGCACAGTTACCCTATTCAGGACCAGGGAGTCCTCCACACCAGCCTGTCCCCCAAAAACAATACTTCTGTCTTGTCAGGATTCAACTTCAATCCATTAGCCGCCATCCATCCTCCAACCGCCTCCAGGCACTCACACAGGACCTTCACCGTCTTCACTGGTTCTGATTTGAAAGAGAGCTGGGTATCATCTGCATATTGATGGACACCCTGTCCAAATCCCCTGATGATCTCTCCCAGCGGCTTCATATAGATGTTAAAAAGCATGGGGGAGAGGACGGAACCCTGAGGCACCCCACAAGTGAGGGCCCAGGGGTCTGAACACTCATCCCCACCACCACTTTCTGAACACGGCCCAGGAGGAAGGAGCGAAACCACTGTATAACAGTGCCCCCAGCTCCCAGCCCCTCTAGACGGTCCAGAAGGATGTTATGGTCGATTGTATCAAAGGCCGCTGAGAGATCCAGCAGAACCAGGAAACAACTCTCACCTTTGTCCCTAGCACGCCGGAGATCATCAACCAGCGCGACCAAGGCAGTTTCAGTCCCATGGTGAGGCCTGAATCCCGATTGGAAAGGATCCAAATGGTCCGCATCCTCCAGGCGTGCCTGGAGTTGTTCAACAACCACGCGCTCAATCACCTTGCCCAAGAATGGAAGATTTGAGACTGGGCGATAGTTGGCCATACTGGCCGGGTCTCAAGATGGTTTTTAAGAAGCGGTTTAATGACCGCCTCTTTCAGCGGATCTGGGAATGTTCCCTCACAGAGGGAAGCATTCACCACCCCGCAGAGCCCATCGCCCAGCCCTTCCCGGCTTGCTTTTATTAGCCAGGATGGGCAAGGATCAAGGAGACAGGTGGTTGCTTTCACGCGTCCAAGCAGCCTGTCCACATCCTCGGGGGTAACGGATTGAAATTGATTCCATGCAACTTGACCAGACAGAGCTCTAGCACTCTCCCGCCCTGGCCCTGCTCCCACAGTGGGGTCTAGCTCCTTCCGAATATGAGTGATTTTATCTGCAAAAAACTTTGCAAAATCGTTGCAGGAGATCTTGGGGTCTTTACAATGCCCCGATGGTAAAGGTGGTTCCGTTAAATTCCGTTACCTCAAAAATAGTGTTATGAGTTTGGAGGGAGGGGAGAGCAGGCTGTATACCGACACCATTATAACCCCTGGATCAAGCAAGTGTTAAAATATAAGCCAGGCTACCTTCATGATGGGACGCGGGTGGCGCTGTGGGTTAAACCACAGAGCCTAGGACTTGCCGATCAGAAGGTCGGCGGTTTGAATCCCCATGACAGGGTGAGCTCCCATTGCTCCGTCCCTGCTCCTGCCAACCTAGCAGTTTGAAAGCACGTCAAAGTGCAATTAGATAAATAGGTACCGCACCGACGGGAAGGTCAACGGCGTTTCTGTGTGCTGCTCTGGTTCGCCAGAAGCGGCTTAGTCATGCTGGCCACATGTAAGCCGGCTCCCTCGGCCAATAAAGCGAGATGAGCGGCGCAACCCCAGAGTTGGTCACGACTGGACCTAATGGTCAGGGGTCCCTTTACCCTTTATATTTTTACCTTCATGATGAGGTGATCGCCTGGGAGATGAGCCATTAAGGGGAGCAAAGGAAAGGGGCTCTGTGCGAGATGGCAAATTGATGGGGCCCCTCCCTCAACTTGCAGTAGTTAGAAAGACGAGAACAGAGAGTGCAGGAATGTGAACTAAACAAGAAGCAGCAAGCTGAAGAGAGAGTCAGAGCAATGTCTGATTTCTGCTTGAATCCAAGACTGCAGTTATGGGAGAAATGAACCTATTAGGGTGTTAATGCTGTGAACCCCTCCATCGTAGGCTCAGGTTGTATATATGTGTAAATAAACTATATATCATAAAGACACCACAGTCTCTGCTGTGCCTCGTTCTGAAGGAAACAAGAACCCTAGGTAAGTGCCTGGAACCCCGGGAATCTCACACCACTCGGAGATTGGGGTGGCATGCAAGAATACATATGAAACCTCTTTATATGTCTTAATAACCTCTGTATTTTAATCATGACTCTCCAGCCAGGTCATGTGATCAAAATGCACTATAAAATGGGCAGAGTGTTCTGCAAAAATGTGTACATTAGTTATACAGAAATATGATTATTAATAGAAATTCACACGAAAATGCTGACAGGTTTTTATCAGGATTAAAAAACAACAACACGTTTTTAAAATTGCTGCGGAAGTGTGGAGAGCTGAATTTAAACCTGGAAAAATGAGAAACTGAAAGAAGTGAAACTCACAGTTCCATCCACCCTGAACTGATTTTCTTACCACTTGCACAATCTCGGTAGCTGGACTGGGCGGTGGGGGGGGGAGGCAAATACCAGCTGCAGCACCTCTTTGTCCCTACAGTTTCTCATCCAGCCTGATTCTGAGCCCTCTTCTCCCAATATCAGGCATTGGGCTACACAATCTACAGTTTAACAATACTAGGGCTGTCTCAGAGCTTTTAACATGACTAACCTGGATTAAATAGCTATTTTGCTGCCACAAAATCCAAAAGCCAAGGACGGGGAAGATGATAAGGATGAGGAGATGAGTAAAGAATATTGCAATAGCCTCTTAATTGTTTCTTACAGGAAAATGTTCCCAAGAAAATGAGCAGGCTTTGTGAAAGAAAGAAAGAAAGAAAGAAAGAAAGAAAGAAAGCACAAAGATGCCTAACTGAAAAGAAGCAAGATGGAAGAGTAAACTGAGCTTATGGAACACCTTGAAATGTAATGCTGCACTCAACAAATCCCAAATGTAAGGATCTCTTTTTAAAGGCTGCATTGGTTTAATAATAATAATAATAATCCCGCTGCCTGATAACACTTCAACAATAAAGATTGCTTTAAATAAAGAACTGGGATTTTGGAGTTCACCTATTTCAATTGCCATCTGCTAGAGTTTGCATGGGCAGCAGGATTTTCCTTGTGTAGCTGGTTGTTGTTGTTTTAATGCCAGGCTGCTTCTAGGTCACTTGGGAGACGCTGTGTCTCCTTGCCCTCTTCCAGCCGAGAGCAGGGGTGTTTGCTCCAGTGTGTCGTTTCTGAACAAGTGGCTTCCATGTGGGGAAGGACGTTCGTTCGTGTGGGTTCTGCTGCAGAGCGTGGGCAGGCAGCAGGAGAGATCAGGAGGGAAAGCCACTTTGAGAAGGAGCAGCTTGCACCCTGCACCCAAAGGCACCCCACCCCTAACTTCTCCTGGGAAGATACAGTCAGCCCAGGACGTCCATCTTCTCTCCTCCTAGGCCTTTTCACTGCTTCTCCTTCTTGCTACCCAACCTCTTTCTTCCTGCCTCTGCTCATCCAACACCCTACCCTCTGACAGTCCTGGATCACTCTGGGTCACCTCACCTGACCCACAGCAATCCGGGGCTGCCTCCATCTGATTCAGCTGAACCATGGATCCCCCAGAATAGGCCCCATTCAGTTCAGGATTCAGCCCAGTCTGGTGCACAACCACCATGTATACCTTACTAGTGAGATAAATATTTGCATCCAGCCATCTGTTACATGACAGGCACTGAAACTGCCTGGTCTCCCTGTACAGACAACATCACTTCTGACTCCCTGTGTTCAGTTTCTGCCAAGGGCTAACGTCAACATGGGCCACTGATGGTTGGCTCTGCTTTGGCAATGTGATGTACCTGAGCTTTTTAACATTCTCTTGTTCAGTGAACACTTAATCTACGGAGCTAATGGTATTGTACTGTGCTGATGTCCTCAATGACTGACCATGCTGTAGAAGTTTGATGCATGTAATTCCTTTGGATTATACGTACAGGCTATAATAACTGCACTTGTTACCATCCACATGAATGTTACAATCATGTATGTTTTTTTAAAATATTGTATATGTAAAAGAAGAAATGGTTTAAAATTATTTACATACAAGCTTTTTTTTTTAACAGAAATACACATCTGCATGACAATCAGAGGTTGAGACCCTGGAAATTGGCAGAGTGAGTGGAAGTAATTGGGAACACTTCCAGTGTTTAATTACTGCATGATAGCCTGCTGTTAAAAGCTTGGGAATACAGCCAACGACCAATAAAAGTGGCAGTCCAATGCAGAATTAGTATTTATCAATAAACACATCGAAGGCACATTAGAGTTGTTTTATCCCAGTTTCTTAATGATGATCATTGACCATGATAACAAAGGTTAGATTTTCAGAGGAAATTTTTCTAAGAAAATGCCTGAGATTTTTCATTTTCTCTCCCCAAAAGAGAAAAGGCCACTTTGCAGAATTTTCTCTTACTACTCTCCACTAATTTTTGTGACAGCAGCCACTCTCCTCCTCTCCTACAAAGCCATGGATTGCTATATTGGTCCAGGGTATTGTTTTTTTGTTATTATATATTTAATTGATACTCAAACAAAGAAAAAAACAAGACAAGAATACAAACAGAACAGTAATAAAGACAATATTAGTTACAAATCAATAAAGCAAAAAGCAATCCTTGAACTATAGTCCCGACCTCCCATCCATTCCTTGTTTCAGTTATCTATTATTTGTTGCCAAGAATAGCAAGTCCGACTGCTTCCTCTGATCCAGTATCCAACTCCTGAAGTCCGTGCAGGCCCGACAGGGCGGCTTCTTCTTATTAGGTTCAGCGGCCGGCAGAGCCTGCCCCTCCGCGGGTTTTTCAGCCCCGGCCCTCGAGGCGGAGAAGGGGAAAGGGAAAGCGGACGCCGGTCGGGACGTGCTGGGGCTGGGCGCCGCCATGTTGGGTGCACGCAAAGCATGCTTGGCCAGAAGGGGCCCGCTCATTCGAGGGAGTCTGAGAGTGGTTGTCAATGGCAACTCCAGTAGGCCGCTTCCCCTTTTCCTGTTTCTGCTGGAGTCTTGTTTTGCTTGCCACGCCTGCGGGCTCTCTTCCGGCCAACGCTGCCAATGGCAGACCTTAAAAACTTGGGGTCGGTGAGATTCGGATATCGCAGCACCTTGCGCCTGCTGGACCTCCTGAGTGGAGCGGGTTGTGTCTTGCTCCTCGTGAAGTAGGGGGAAATGTGAGGAGTGTTGCAAGCCGGTGCAGGGGCAGAAGGTCTGGCCGAGATGGTAGAGCACGGCTTCTCTGTCAGGGGCTTCTTCGCAACCCAGTGGAACACCAGTATCATACGCCTCTTAGATGGGTTGGACATGCTGAAGAAGATGCTGGAGGCCCAAAGACCAGGGTGACTTCAAAGCGGAGGACACAGCAGGCAGTTCCCTATTCAATGGGGCCAAATCCAAGCTAATGTTAGCTCCAGTCCTGTTAAATCGATCCAGAAATTAGGAGCGTTAAATAAGGAATTAATTCCTCAGGCAGTATGAAAAGACTCTATGTGGCTTTTCAAAAGCTGGGAGCTCCCAACTACTGCCACTGTTGACAGCCTGTTGCCCCTTAAATCTGCTTGAATGGGTTATGTCACAATGGTTCCTTAAGCCTTCATCAGCAGTTTGTGAGCATGAAAATGCTGTTGGGATTTTCAGCAATGAAGGCTCAGGCATAACACACTGTTTGAAAGTCTGAACATTTCCTCTTTTTTTATTTAACAAAATTAATATGCCACTTTTATAATTTATATACAAATTATTAGGAGAGTAAGTTAAAAATATACTGTAGTTTATTCACTTATAGGCTACTTTACATACTTTATTCCTTCTTATACTTCTATCCCACCTTTCCTCCACAGAGCATATACACTTCTCCATTTTATCCTGACAGCAATATTGTGAGCTAGGGCCATAGCTCAGTGGTAGAACAACTGCTTAGCATGCAGAAGACATCAGATTCAGTCCCCAGCATCTCCTGGTGGGACTGGGAGAGATCCTGCCTGAAATCTTTTTATTAATGGGCAATGTCACAGGCTCAATGTCACAGGTTTTGCAGCCTAGTCGAGCCCGCGCCACCCTCCCGGTGCCTCCCCGCCGTAATAGCAAGCAGGCCGCGGCCTTGCTGGAGCCCCGCGCCACCCGCCTGGGTAGGAAGGGGCACCGGGCAGGCAGCGGTGGGAAGCGATGCCCACCCCACCACTCCAAATGCAAGCAGCCCGTGGCTGGGGCCCAGCTGGGGCCCACACCACCGCTGGCCATCACAAAAGGCTGGTAGGCCGACCTAGCGGCGTACTCAGGGGCCGTGCTGCCGACTCGGGCTGGCAGCGCCCTGGGCAAGCAGCTGCCAGTGGAGGAGCCAGCTCCCCCCCCCCCCCGATGCCAGGGAAAAGCTCCAAAAAAGGCCGCAGCGTGCCTAACCGAGCACGCCAAAATGGGGCGTAGCCTGGCGGAGGGGCAAATCCCACCCACCCACCTAGGCAAAAGTAAAGAAGGCCGGTTACTTACCTAGGTCCGGCCGCCTGGATACACTCCTGATCTTGATCCTGATCCTGGAAGGAAGAAAGGCAAAAGAGGCTTGAGCCCAGGAGTCAGCCTCTTTTCCTTTTGGCCTTAGGCCCATCCCGGCTGGCCGTCCATTGTCCTCCCTGACCGAGTACAGGTCAAAGGCCAACTCAAGCAGGTGGGTGGCACCAGCCCAGGTGAGCCTCGCTCGGTGCCGCAAACCCTGCCCACCTGTGGGGAAGGGAGGGCAGATATTGTAATGATAAATACTTAGTTCCTGGGCAATGTCACAGGCTCACACCTTATTCATGTCTTAAATGTGCCCTTAAGACAGGATTTGTGAGGAAAGAGGCAATGAGGAGGTTTCCCACTTTGACCTTGCAGAGAAAACATTTACTCAGTTTAGGAATCAAAATGGTTCCAGGTTGGTCTTCCTGTACTGTGCTTGGTTGGTACGCTTATGAACATTACCATATATCTAAGACCATAAAATTCCTATCACAGGAGTGTCCTTCCTTTTGGAGAAAAACCATGGGGCACATCCTCCTAAGTCCTGGCATCTGCCATAACTTGCAGATGAATTTTAGAGTCTCCTCCCCTTTGTCTGCTCTTTAGAAAACACAGCTTTTTCCCTTCCCACCTTCACACACAGACAAAAAAAGCTATTTCATAATGACTGGCAGGGCTGAAAGGTCCGTGATGCATCTGTTTTGTTAGTTGTGGCTTCACCATCTTCAGCCTGTTCTTGGGTCTGCTTCTCCCAAGTACCACAGGGAGGGAATTGAAGTATGTTGTATTGGTAAGCATGAGGTCTTCTCTTCATTGCTAACAATGAGTTATCCAAGCATGTACATTTCTGTTAGTTTGAAAAGGCTGGTTTCTCTTTTTTTCTTTTTCAATTTTTTTTATTGATTTCCCAAAGTTTTAAACAAACAAACAAACAAACAAACAAACAAACAAACATAAATCATAACTGAACTTGGTCCAATCTTAGTAACATTGTGAAATGACTTCCTCAAATTCCCTTGACTGAATTTCATTATATATCATTGTACCGGTTTTCCAAAATAAAATCTCATAAAAATTTTCTTAGTCCTCTTAACATCTTTGTTTCTTTCGAAAAGGCTGGTTTCTCTTTTAGGTTCCATTTTCCTGCATAACAGAGCAGTGTCAACACCAAATTCGAAGGACATTTAGAATGAGAGGCTGCAGACACAGGACTGCCGGTGTTCTCACTTTGCCTTGTATTTCCAGTTCCTGACTCAGCTTCATAGTTGAGTTTCCCCCATCAAACATGTTTGCCAGCCAATGCCTTATTAATCCTAGTTCCATAATTGAGTGTATTTACATGTATGACACTGAATTTATTCTATGGACTGCAAATTCTTTTAGTTTGCTTGTTTCCTTTGGATTATACGTACAGGCTATAATAACTGCACTTGTTACCATCCCCGTGAATGTTACAATCATGTATGTTTTTAAAAATATTTTATATGTAAAAGAAGAAATGGTTTAAAATTATTTACATACAAGCTTTTTTTAAACAGAAAAACACATTTGCATGACAATCAGAGGTTGAGACCCTGGAAATTGGCAGAGTGAGTGGAAGTAATTGGGAACACTTCCAGTGTTTAATTACTGCATGATAGCCTGCTGTTAAAAGCTTGGGAATACAGCCAACGACAATGAAAAGTGGCAGTCCAGTGCAGAATTAGTATTTATCAATAAACACATCGAAGGCACATTAGAGTTGTTTTATCCCAGTTTCTTAATGATGATCATTGACCATGATAACAAAGGTTAGATTTTTCAAAGGAAATTTTTCTAAGAAAATGCCTGAGATTTTTCAATTTCTCTCCCCAAAAGAGAAAAGGCCACTTTGCAGAATTTTCTCTTACTTCTCTCCACTATTTTTTGTGACAGCAACCACCCTCCTCCTCTCCCACAAAGCCATGGATTGCTGATTGGTCCAAGGTATTGTTTTTTTTATTTATTTATTTAATTGATATTCAAAAAAAGAAAAAAACAAGACAAGAATACAAACAGAACAGTAATAAAGACAATATTAGACAATATTCCAACTCCTGAAGTCCGTGCAGGCCCGACAGGGCGGCTTCTTCTTATTCGGTTCGGCGGCCGGCAGAGGCTGCCCCTCCGCGGGTTTTTCAGCCCCGGCCCTCGAGGCGGAGAATGGGAAAGGGAAAGCGGGCGCCAGTCGGGACGTGCTGGGGCTGGGCACCGCCAGGTTGGGTGGGAGAAAAAGGAGGCTGAGAGTGGTTGTCAATGGCAACTCCAGTAGGCTGCTTCCCCTTTTCCTGTTTACGCTGGAGTCTTATTTGGCTTGCCACGCCTGCGGGCTCTCTTCCGGCCAACGCTGCCAATGACAGATCTCAAAAACCTGGGGTCGGTGAGATTTGGAATTCGCAGCACCTTGCGCCTGCTGGACCTCCTGAGCGGAGCAGGTTGTGTCTTGCTCCTCGTGAAGTAGGGGGAAATGTGAGGAGTGTTGCAAGCCGGTGCAGAGGCCGAAGGTCTGGCCGAGATGGTCAGGGGCTTCTTCCTAACCCAGTGGAACACCAGTATCATACGCCTCTTAGATGGGTTGGACATGCTGAAGAAGGTGATGGAGGCCCAAAGACCAGGGTGACTTCAAAGCGGAGGACACAGCAGGCAGTTCCCTATCAATGGGGCAAAATCCAAGCTAATGTTAGCTCCAGTCCTGTTAAATCAATCCAGAAATTAGGAACGTTAAATAAGGAATTAATTCCTCAGGCAGTATGAAAAGACTCTATGTGGCTTTTCAATAGCTGGGAGCTCCCAACTACTGCCACTGTTGACAGCCTGTTGCCCCTTAAACCTGCTTGAATGGGTTATGTCACAATGGTTCCTTAAGCCTTCATCAGCAGTTTGTGAGCATGAAAATGCTGTTGGGAGTTTCAGCAATGAAGGCTCAGGCATAACACACTGTTTGAAAGTCTGAACATTTCCTCTTTTTTTATTTAACAAAATTTATATGCCACTTTTATAATTTATATACAAATTATTAGGAGAGTAAGTTAAAAATATACTGTAGTTTGTTCACTTATAGGCTACTTTACATACTTTATTCCTTCTTATACTTCTATCCCACCTTTCCTCCACAGAGCATATACACTTCTGCCTCCACCTTCTCCATTTTATCCTGACAGCAATATTGTGAGCTAGGGCCATAGCTCAGTGGTAGAACAACTGCTTAGCATGCAGAAGGCATCAGGTTCAGTCCCCAGCATCTCCTGGTGGGACTGGGAGAGATCCTGCCTGAAATCTTTTTATTATTATTATTATTATTATTATTATTATTACTTTATTAAAGATTTTCTTGTTCTGCAGTGGATTAATAATAATAATAATAATAATAATAATCCTGCTGCCTGATAAAACTTCAACAATAAAGATTGCTTTAAATAAAGAACTGGGATTTTGGAGTTCACCTATTTCAAAGTACCATCTGCTAGAGTTTGCATGGGCAGCAGGATTTTCCTTGTGTAGCTGGTTGTTGTTGTTTTAATGCCAGGCTGCTTCTAGGTCACTTGGGAGACGCTGTGTCTCCTTGCCCTCTTCCAACCGAGAGCAGGGGTGTTTGCTCCAGTGTGTCGTTTCTGAACAAGTGGCTTCCATGTGGGGAAGGACGTTCGTGTGGGTTCTGCTGCAGAGCGTGGGCAGGCAGCAGGAGAGATCAGGAGGGAAAGCCACTTTGAGAAGGAGCAGCTTGCACCCTGCACCCAAAGGCACCCCACCCCTAACTTCTCCTGGGAAGATACAGTCAGCCCAGTACGTCCATCTACTCTCCTCCTAGGCCTTTTCACTGCTTCTCCTTCTTGCTGTTGTTGTTTAGTCGTTTAGTCGTGTCCGACTCTTCGTGACCCCATGGACCAGAGCACACCAGGCACTCCTGTCTTCCACTGCCTCCCGCAGTTTGGTCAGACTCATGTTTGTAGCTTCTTGCTACCCAACCTCTTGCTACCCAACCTCTTTCTTCCTGCCTCTGCTCATCCAACACCCCACCCTCTGACAGTCCTGGATCACTCTGGGTCACCTCACCTGACCCACAGCAATCCGGGGCTGCCTCCATCTGATTCAAGTGAACCATGGATCCCTCAGAATAGGCCCCATTCAGTTCAGGATTCAGCCCAGTCTGGTGCACAACCCCCATGTATACCTTACTAGTGAGATAAATATTTGCATCCAGCCATCTGTTACATGACAGGCACTGAAACTGCCTGGTCTCCCTGTACAGTGGTACCTTGGGTTACATATGCTTCAGGTTACAGACTCCGCTAACCCAGAAATAGTGCTTCAGGTTAAGAACTTCGCTTTAGGATGAGAACAGAAATCGTGCTCTAGTGGCGCGGCGGCAGCAGGAGACCCCATTAGCTAAAGTGGTGCTTCAGGTTAAGAACAGTTTCAGGTTAGGAACGAATCTCCAGAACGAATTAAGTACTTAACCCGAGGCACCACTGTACAGACAACATCACTTCTGACTCCCTGTGTTCAGTTTCTGCCAAGGGCTAACGTCAACATGGTCCACTGATGGTTGGCTCTGCTTTGGCAATGTGATGTACCTGAGCTTTTTAACATTCTCTTGCTCAATGAACACTTAATCTACGGAGCTAATGGTATTGTACTGTGCTGATGTCCTCATTGACTGACCATGCTGTGGAACCTTGATGCATGTAATTATTTGCCCATGCAAATACTCTTCTTTGGAGCATGAGATTCTGTGTCTATGCAGAATAGCTTATAAATAAACTTGGGCTAAAGGTTGTCCCCATCACTTACATTTCTGTACCTCTGTCCTGGATACATTACTATGCTTACTGGCAACCAGGAACAGCCAGTGTGGTGAAGCAGTGGTGTGTTGCTGCCCCCGTGACAGCAGGGTCACTGCTGCTTGCTGGGATGGGGCAGGGCAGGGGGGCAGCATGACTGGGGCTGTGTGGGCACCCCAGCAGGGGCCCTCCCAGTGCACCCACCTAGCCCCACCTTCCTGCCCTGCTCTGCCTCCCACACTGCCCCAGTGACACTGCTGTTGGGAGGGTAGTGGCACTGTAACATTTTGCCTCGCCAGCTGCTCCTGTTGGCATCAGACAGGTTAAACTCTTTCTTAACCAGGCTGGTCTTCAACCCTTATCCCAGGTAGGGTTGTGTGTGTTCTGCGCTCTTTGCCCAGGAAACCGGTGCGGGGGGATGGGGAAGAGGAGGAGGTGACCTACGGTCAAAATGTCTAATTTGACCTACAGTCAAAATGTCTACAGTCTAATTCTAAAACAGGAAGTGTACTGTGCTGCAGAATATTTATAATATTCCCACATATATTTGCTCACCAAAAATTCATTCAAGAAAAAGAATTGTTCTCCCATCTTGATTGTTCTTCTGGTGATATAAATAAACTATGAGATTGTGCAAGGTCTTGGACAAACTCCCCCAACTCAGCAACTATTAGTCCTTGGACTGCTGGATGGGCACCAGAATGTGATTCCTTTCAGTCTCACAGTCCGAAGACAACTGACAGTTGTTGGAGCTGGAGATGGGAGGGCAGGGAGCAAGTTGCCTGCAGCTGTTCCTTCTCTGGCCAGTTAGAGGAGTCCAGGCTCTTCTCCGTATTGCCATGACATTCTTCCTGCCCCTCTTGGCAGCAGTGCCACTACGTTTGCTGATTTATTTAGAAGATTTCCATCTCACCCACCATTGGATCGAGCGGTCACCTTCAAACTGCCACGATGTTCTTCCTGGAAGGCTGAATGTGCAACCTCCCCATCACCCGTGGTTCTCTAGCCATTAGCAGTGAGCGGAGTGTCCTTCCTTTTGGAGAAAAATCATGGGGCACATCCTCCTAAGTCCTGGCATCTGCCGTGTGGTCCTCCAGCACCACAGAACTTGGTACTTGCTCCTCTGTCCTTGACTATATTACAAAAAAGCCATAAATCAGTAGCCATCAAATTAAACTTCCAGATGAATTTTAGAGTCTCGTCCCCTTTGTTTGCTCTTTAGAAAGCATGGCTTTTTCCCTTCCCACCTTCACACACAGACAAAAAAGCTATTTCATAATTACTGGCAGGGCTGAAAGGTCTGTGATGCATCTGTTTTGTTAGTTGCGGCTTCACCATCTTTGGCCTGTTCTTGGGTCTGCTTCTCCCAAGTACCACAGGGAGGGAATTGAAGTATGTTGTATTGGTAAGCATGAGGTCTTCTCTTCATTGCTAACAATGAGTTATCCAAGCATGTACATTTCTGTTAGTTTGAAAAGTTTGGTTTCTCCTTTTTTTTTTTTCCAAATTTTTTTTATTGATTTTCCAAAATTTTAAACAAACAAACATAAATCATAACTGAACTTGGTCCAATCTTAGTAACATTGTGAAATGACTTCCTCAAATCCCCTTGACTGAATTTCATTATATATCATTGTACCGGTTTTCCAAAATAAAATCTCATAAAACTTCCTTAGTCCTCTTAACATCTTGGCTGGTTTCTCTTTCAGGTTCCATTTTCCTGCATAACAGAGCAGTGTCAACACAAAATTCAAAGGACATTTAGAATGAGAGGCTGCAGACACAGGACTGCCAGTGTTTTCACTTCACCTTGCATTTCCAGTTCCAGACTCAGCTTCATAGTTTAGTTTCCCCCATCAAACATGTTTGCCAGCCAATGCCTTATTAATCCTAGTTCCATAATTGAGTGTATTTACATGTATGACACTGAATTTATTCTACGGACTGCAAATTCTTTTAGTTTGCTTGTTTCCTTTGGATTATACGTACAAGCTATAATAACTGCACTTGTTACCATCCACGTGAATGTTACAATCAAGTATGTTTTTAAAAATATTTTATATGTAAAAGAAGAAATGGTTTAAAATTATTACATACAAGCTTTTTTTTAACGGAAAAACGCATTTGCATGACAATCAGAGGTTGAGACCCTGGAAATTGGCAGAGTGAGTGGAAGTAATTGGGAACACTTCCAGTGTTTAATTACTGGAATTAAATTGGGATTCGAAAATCGCAGCACCTTGCGCCTACACTGGCCAATATTTGTGTACGGTGCGTATCAATTACCATGCAGTTCAGTATTGCTTGCACTGGCTTCAATTGGGTACGATGCCAGGCAGTGATTAGTTCAGTATTAACTACACTGGCCCCTAGGAGTTAAATTGCGTAACGCGTATACTGCAAATGAAACGTGCTATATTTATTATTAATGGTTATTATTATATAATTTTTATTTTTAAAATTTATTTATTTATTGTTTGTTTATTATTATTATTATTATTATTATTATTATTATTATTATAAATTTATTTATTTATTACTTACTATTAATATTATTACTAATTATATATATGTAAAAAATGTTTCTTCAAATTGAACTCGGGCTCTGTTAAATGACCCCCCCCCAAGGTGGCCCGGTGATTTAGGAAGTGGGCAGGAAGGCGAGTAGGCACAGATTCGTTGCACTGCTCTGAAGCCGGGCCGGGGATGCCTCACGCAAGATGGCCGCCAAAAGGAATACCACGTGGCCTCCCAAAATGGCTGCTCAATGCAGTGGTAACTACGGCAACGGCTAAGAAATTCTAAACCCCCACGTAGTGTCCGGCACCGGCACTGTACTAAGCCGCAGCTGGGTAGAAATTCCCCTGTACAATGTCTGTGCCTCCCAACACAAATTAAAAGAAGCCCCACACCAAATCCGTACTTTAAATGAAACGTGACGCCAAGGAAACCCTCAAGAGGAAAAAAAATTTAAACCGCACACGGTATAAGACCAACCAGTCCCCAAGATCAAGCTTCTTCCCTTTATACTTTACTGATCCTTAATTTACGGCAGCGAGCGGGATATGGGTGGGAAGGCAAGCGGAAGAAATTCTCAGGCACTTGGGGTGATGAAACGGCAGCCGCTTTGGAAGCCACCGAAGCCGGCCGAACAAGGGAAGCTGGCGAGATCAAGAGAAGCTGGAATGAGAAATGGAGACCTTTGCAGCTGGAGCCCGGACAGGAGCAGCAAAATCCACGCGCTGGTTGAAAAGAGTGATTTCAGCTCCGCTGTCGGAGGATACAAGCTGCAGTGTGGAGCGTGGCAGACTTGGGCAGGATTCAACACAAATGGTAAGTAGGAAAACCTTCCCGGATTCAAGGGGATATGTTCCCTACAAGAATTTTTCAACCTCAACCTTAATAAAGGAACAGATCTACGTAAATATGGTTTGGGATGCCAGTAAGGCGGTAATGAGAGGCTTTTAATCAAACAAAGTGCATGCATATACACCCACCCCCACATCCACACACCACGGAAGCTCGAATTTTGCTAGCCCAAAGATGGAAAATGAGCGAGATCCCTAGTAAGGAAGACTGGCAACTTAAGATGATAGAATTTGCAGAAGCAGCAGGTTTAACATAGAATAAGAGGGAAAGAATCTTTATTCAAAGAGGAGTGGAAAAAATTTACTGAATATTTAGAAAACAACTGTGTACAATTGAAAACGCTGGTAGTGTTTAGATAAATTCAACAGTATGGTAAATATTTGAAGGATGTAAAATGGAGAAATGATTAGATTTGCTATAATAAAATATGCAGGAATGATGATAAGTAAAATGAACCATGAAAGGGGAAGGAGGGAAGTCAATTGTTACATCATATTATGTAAAATGTTTATTTTGAGATGTATAAACTGAAAAATTAATAAAAATTGTTTTTTAAAATGCTACATAATTTTATTTCATTTTTAACAGGGATGGGGAACGGATGTATGTAGGAAGACACTCTCGGGAGATTTATGCCTTTACAAAATGCCGCTGGCACCCAAAGCTCATCACGTGTCAATCTGCTCGTCCCACTTGGCGGCGTCAGGCAGCTTCATGTTTTGCCACATGAAATCGAGAAACATGGAGGCCTGCAGTAACCGGCCCAGCCTCTGGAAGTGCCGTTCTGTGTATGGTGGGAGAGACTCCACAGCTGCTTTGATCCCTTCGTATTGCAAGAGGCTCTCTGGCGTCTCATGCTTGAGGAGGGTTTCCACCACTGCCTGAGTCTTGAGGTAGTTCCGCGAGTTTGTGTTCCATGTGATGGAAAACTTCAGCACAGCCTCTTTCTGGTCATTCCAAAGCTTCAGGAGGTTCTTTCCCAAGTCTTCTTTTCCATTAGCCTCCTTAAGAATAGGAGGTCTGACTGCTTCCTCTGATCCCGTATCCAACTCCTGAAGTCCGTGCAGGCCCGACAGGGCGGCTTCTTCTTATTCGGTTCAGCAGCTGGCAGAGGCTGCCCCTCCGCGGGTTTTTCAGCCCTGGCCGTCGAGGTGGAGAAGGGGAAAGGGAAAGCGGGCGCCGGTCGGGACGTGCTGGGGCTGGGCACCGCCATGTTGGGTGTGCGCAAAGCATGCTGGGCCAGAAGGGGCCCGCCCATTCGGGGGGAAGGAGGCTGAGAGTGGTTGTCAATGGCGGGGGCCACTAGGGGCGCCTTGGAAGATGGCCGACAATACCATCTTTCCGGCTCGCACGAGGTAATTTAGAGGCTGATTATGGGAGTATATCAGCCTCCCTTCTTCTTCCCAGGGGGTGGGAAGATGCTGCCTCACCCGCAGTTGCCCATAAATCACCCACGAGTTCGAAAGGAGGGGGGGTGGGAGCACTGGTCGGAAAGCCCTCGAGCGAGCTTTGGAGCTCCCGGACGCCGCTTTCAAGAGCGAAACTAGTTGCATTGATTAAGATAAATTAATTGGAGAAAGTAAATGCACATGTTTCGAGAGAAGTCAGGGGTGTATTATCTGCTAAATAAATCTACCACTGAGAAGATAAGAGTGATGGGATGGAATGAACAGAAGACTACATCAAAGAATTACAGCCATGTAGGTATGTTGAACAGAATGGAACGGGGGGGGGCTTTCATTTTCATTATGATTTACCTAAGAACCCCCCCCCCCCAGAAGAACCGTCACAATGACTGATAGCAAGTGAGACTGGAAAATAAAATGAGTGGAAACAAAAATATTAACAAAAGGTTTTATTTATTAGTATAATGTATTGGTATAATTTGGAATAATTAATATGATATGATTGGTTTGTTAAATGGAAAGTTAATAAAAACTATTTCAAAAAAAGAGAGAGAGAGTAGTTGTCAATGGCAACTCCAGTAGGCCGCTTCCCCTTTTCCTGTTTCCACTGGAGTCTTCTTTGGCTTGCCACGCCTGCGGGCTCTCTTCCGGCCAACACTGCCTATGACAGATCTTAAAAACATGGGGTCGGTCAGATTCGGAAATCGCAGCACCTTGCGTCTGCTGGACCTCCTGAGCAGAGCGGGTTGTGTCTTGCTCCTCGTGAAGTAGGGGGAAATGTGAGGAGTGTTGCAGGCCGGTGCAGAGGCAGAAGGTCTGGCCGAGATGGTAGAGCACGGCTTCTCTGCCAGGGGCGTCTTCCTAACCCAGTGGAACACCAGTATCATACGCCTCTTAGGTGGGTTGGACATGCTGAAGAAGGTGCTGGAGGCCCAAAGACCAGGGTGACTTCAAAGCGGAGGACGCAGCAGGCAGTTCCCTATCAATGGGGCCAAATCCAAGCAAATGTTAGCTCCAGTCCTGTTAAATCGATCCAGCAATTAGGAATGTTAAATAAGGAATTAATTCCTCAGGCAGTATGAAAAGACTCTATATGGCTTTTCAATAGCTGGGAGCTCTCAACTACTGCCACTGTTGACAGCCTGTTGCCCCTTCACTCTGCTTGAACGGGTTATGTCACAATGGTTCCTTAAGCCTTCATCAGGTGTTTGTGAGCATGAAAATGCTGTTGGGAGTTTCAGCAATGAAGGCTCAGGCATAACACACTGTTTGAAAGCCTGAACATTTCCTCTTTAAAAAAAAAAATTACCAAATTTATATACCACTTTTATAATTTATATACAAATTATTAGGAGAGTAAGTTAAAAATATTTGTTCTTGTTGTTTAGTTGTTTAGTCGTGTCTGACTCTTCGTGACCCCATGGACCAGAGCACGCCAGGCACTTCTGTCTTCCACTGCCTCCCGCAGTTTGGTCAAAAGTTAAAAACATACTGTATTTTATTCACTTATAGGCTAGTTTACATACTTTATTCCTTCTTATACTTCTGTCCCACAGAGCATATACACTTCTGCCTCCACCTTCTCCATTTTATCCTGACAGCAATATTGTGAGCTAGGGCCATAGCTCAGTGGTAGAACAACTGCTTAGCATGCAGAAGGCATCAGGTTCAGTTCCCAGCATCTCCTGGTGGGACTGGGAGAGATCCTGCCTGAAATCTTTTTTAAAAAATTATTATTATTTTATTAAAGATTTTCTTGTTTTACAGAAATATGGGTAATGTGTCTCGTATTTTTTCCATGTAACATTTTTACAAATCAGTTTCATTTGTTGAGACATTGGGGGGGGAGGTGTGGAGGGCGGGAAGATGGGGGGGGTCGGATGGCGATGTTTCTATTTTGCTTAATGTATGTAGGGTTTCATGTCAGCGTTGCTTGTGCAGGTTCTCTGCTGTTCATTTGTGTTTCTTTGGTGGTGAGAGAGGTTGGGGTTGGCCTAAGGTGTGGTTGTTTGTTTGTGATTGGCTGTGGTGATCTTTGTTTTCGTGTGTGAGTGGGGTGGGTGGGTGTTTTGGATCAGGTTAGCCATATTGATTTGTATGCTGTTGGTGGATTCTTGTCATTGTCTTGTTGGGCTGTGTATGTGATAAAGGGGAGCCATACCGGGGTGAAGGCATCTTCTTCTATTTGTCCCTGTGCTAGTTTCAGTTTATTGGTTAATTTTTCTAGTAGGGCTGTTTCCCATACTATTTGGTACCATTGGTCCATGCTTACTCCTGACAGATCTCTCCAGTGTCTGGTTATGGTGTTTCTGGCTGCTGAAAGTTCATTTTGCCGGGCTGTGAAGCCACTTGTCCCTTGCAGAAGTTTAAAGAACTGGTTTCTCCTGTTGTACCAGAGGAATGGCAAGCAGAATGTAACAGTTAATGTAGGACTGCATCGTAAATGAGAGGTAAAAAACATGTGTAAAACGGATGTTTCATCTTTCAACGTCCCAGCTTGACCTTCCTCTCAAAATCATAATAATTAGAGGGGCTGGATTGTTTGAGGTTCGAGGCTTTAGGAATGCAGCTTTTACCCCCCACCTTCATCTTGCCCCACCCTCGAGACACTGGAAAGCAGACTGCCCTGTTATCCTGGGAACTGTAGTTCGTTAAGGCTGTTGGGAATTATAGCTTTGTGAGGGGCAAAATGCAATTCCCAGTGTACTTTGGAGGAAAGCTACAACGATTGTTACCTAAAAAGGAGACAAGGCAGAAGACGTAAAGGCAGCCTATTCTTCCTCCTTACTGATTCCTACTTTTTTAGTAAATACTTATTGGTAAAAAATTTCACTTCCTTTCAGGCTTCAATTCCTTCATGCATCTTCTCCAAGTTTATTTGGAGTCAGTATGTTAACTAGTGTTGATTTCTTCTTATGCAATTTCTGTTACCCACTTTACCACAAGTACTTTCAAAGGAGTTAACAAAATGCAAGACATAACTTCACCATCCCAGTTATCCTTAAACAACCCTATGAAGTGGGCTAGACTGTGTGGCTGCACCAAAGTGAGTCAGTGTGCTTCATGGAAAAGTGGATTTGAACCCAGGTCTCCCTGGTCCTAGTCCTGCACGGTAACCGATACATCACCCTGGCTTTCATGTACTATAGATGGACATAGATCTAAAAGGAATGCACATGTATACATAACATATAATGACTATCTGCATATTTCCCAAATATATGTTTCTAAATATTGGCAGTGTTTTTGACCTTTCTGGATGTTGCTGTTATCTCTCATCTTCTACCAGGATGAAAAGGAAAGTCAAATAAAGGGCAAATCAGCAAATTAACATCCTCAGGAAGGAAACTGGAGAGCAAATAAGTTGTGGGACACCAGAATACATGACTGTTGGTGCTTTCATGCAGTCCTCCTCATCAACATTTTCTTCTTCCCAGTGATGATTCTAATCAAATAAAAATCAGGCAAATAGTTGCAATAAATTAGTTTGAGCAAACACCACCAAATGCCACGTCATTTGCAAGTTAATGTGTATTTATACGCTGCTGAACTGTAAATTCTTGGGGTCGGGAAAGCGTCTGGGGGTTGGGGGGAAACAAGGATCTTTTTTGCAACGTTACTGACAGATATAAGGGTTAGGATAAAGCATTCCCAAGTGCTGAGGGTTAGGATTTGCTGAAAGGAGTTCTTAAATGGAAATACAAGCGGGGAGGTGCGGGGAAGTCAAAGAACCAGGTAAAGATAAGAAGGATAAATGAAAGTATAATATTCTTTGAATTTCTTTGTCTCTTTTTCCTTTTTTCCTTTTTCTCTTTTTGTTATGGATACTGTTATTTCTGTTTGTTTTTTGTCATGGTTATTGTTGTTTTTTGTTTGTTGAACTTTTGTAATTTTGTATTTTTTTTGGAAATTTTTTTGTTGTAAAACCAATAAATATTTTATAAAAAAAAAAAAAATAAAGCATTCCCAAGTGCTACTGAGCTTAATAATAATAATAATAATAATAATAATAATAATAATATATTTATACCCCACCCTTCTGGCTGGGTTTCCCCAGCCTCTCTGGGCGGCTCCCAACATAATATTAAAAACACGATAAAACATCAGACATTAAAAACTTCCCTAAACAGGTTTGCCTTCAGATGTCTTCTCAAAGTCAGATAGATGTTTATGTCATGTGACAAAGACATATAAGAGCAGAAGCAGCAAAGCAAGCTGGGAAGTGCTGGGACTGCACAATCGTCCCAGCCTACTAAAGTTATTCAGGCCTAACTGCTAACTTCTAGGTGTTGAGTCACTCTGACATGTGACTTAGCAGCCAGTTTCACTTTGTGCTCTCTGTAAGATTTCAGTTGTGAACAGAGTCAGTCTGCCTCAGTTGTGAACAGAGTCAGTATGTAATCTCAGTCAAACTGTTTGGAACCATGTTGTTTATGAAGAAGTTTATTTTAACTCAGTAAAGATTTTATTCAATTAAAAACTCTGCATTATTAATTTACGCTGCGCGTCAGTTTATTTCCTTGACATCTGACAGGAGGGCGTTCTACAGGGCGGGTGCCACTACCGAGAAGGCCCTCTGCCTGGTTGCCTGTAGCCTCACTTCTCACAATGAGGGAACCGCCAGAAGGCCCTCGGAGCTGGACCTCAGTGTCCGGGCAGAACGATGGGGGTGGAGACACTCCAATAATCTTTTTCAGAAACTCATTTACCTATTTCATGCACAAATCCTGTATTCTTCAAGCACCACTTTCATTTATCGAGCTGTTGGATCGGCCAGAAGGTTTGAATTCTGACAACACATCTAGTGCAGTAAACAATGGATACAGATCATTCATGGGAGCTGGGCAGGGGGCAGGCAACCTGCCAGAAACAATAAAGGAGAAACATTGGGAAAGGAGGACTGTGCTACCAGGACAATTTGTACAGGATCTCAGCTTATCACTGCAGCTCTGTTCAGTTCCTACAGCTTTGAAGTGCCTGATCCCATGCCAGCTGCAAAGGCTGTGCCAGCTCCCTCCTCCCTATGTCAAAGAAGATATGTGGGTGGGGAGAGAAACATATTGTTGCATGACACCCCAATCACTGAGTGGAGTGAGATTCCAGACACTTTCCCAGGGTTCATGTTTCCTTCGGAATGAGGTACAGCAGAGACTGTGGTGTCTTTATGATATATGGTTTATTTACACATATATGCAACCTGAGCTTACAATGGAGGGGCTCACGGCATCAACACTCCCAAAAGGTCTTGCTTCTCCCATTGCCACAGCCTTGGACTGAAGCAGAAATCGAGGGTCCATGCTTAGGGTCATTACAAAGAAGTTGGCCTGACTATTCCAGCAATGGAATCGTTGCTGGATCCAGCAATTAGAAGGGACTCAGATGTACAGCCCATAGCTGTCAAGGGGGAAAGTTGACAGTTATGGTACAGCCTAACCCTGCAAAACAGCAACAGCAACTCACAACAATTCCTATGGTTTGCCCCGCTGGCTTTGTCAAAATCAGTGTCAACCTGTCCTTTTTTAATGCATATTTTTTCATAATACTGATAGCCTTGAACTTGTTAATGTCTTTCACCAGCATTTTCCAAATTTCTGACAGCCTTCAACTTTTTGAGGTTGTAAAAGCATTTTGGCTCTAGTGTGCAAATAATTCAGATTCTAACTTTCTGAATTCAGTAGTGGTACAACAACTATTAAAGATGCTCTTTCCTTCTCTCTGTGGTGGCTTTTATTTACATGGATGTTGCCACCCTTCCCCCTCCCTTTAGATTTCTCAAACAGAAGTCATTTATATGGGGGGGGGGGGTTGCAGCAGGTAGTTAAAATCTTCAACGGGTCATAAAATTGTATTGCGCTCTATGAACAACTTCCTCTGTTCTTCTGAAAAAGTGGTATCAATATATCCATATTGAAAAATATTCCTGAAGTACTCAAGGAGTTGCTACTATTTTTCCAGCAATAGAATTTGCAGGGAAAGAATCTGCATACTTGTATACTTCTGAATTCAGACACTTCTGGATTCTACTAATTACAGAAACCAATAAGTTTATCCTATCCAAAAACAATCATGGTCTTTTCATGATTAACCTGGGTGTGGGGTTTTTAATATGGAGAATAACGGGACCCCTTTGGGCCATAATGAATGACCCCAATGAAGCATGTAGAACAAATGTACACATCGATTGGGTGTGCATAAATATCTAAACTGACGAAACTATGAAAAAGAACTTACTCACTAGATGTCACTCTACTCCTTCAAATCTCAGATTGTGGTTAAGTCAGCCAGGGATGTTTTTCACTGTAAGTCAGAATCTCCACTCAAATAAACAAGGAATATTCGGTGTTATGTGGGAGGGGATGCCAGGAAACAGGGAATTATGTTCACATGTGGTGGGGGTGTAAATATGTACAATATTATTATTTTTTGGCAAGGGGTGTTTAAGGAGATAACAGAAATCATTGAGTTAAAGCTGACCGAAAGTCCAGAAGTAGCATTATTATCAATTTACGACGGCGTGGAAGGTTCACAGGCTATGAAGGACTTGCTCACAAATTTATTGACAGCTGCACGAATTATTATAGCTAGGAAGTGGAAGGGGCAAGCAGAATATAAAATGGAAGAATGGTAGAAAGAGATCTGGGATATAGCTATTAATGATAAATTAACATGTGCCATTAAGGTAAGATGGGGAATATGCAGGTGAAATTATTTTGAGGAGATAGGGAGGGTGTCTGTAGAATTTGTACTGTTAAAACGGAAAGGGATCAAATCATCGCAAGAGGTGTTGAAATTTTGGGAGGTTGGATAGTTACAATGGAATGGTCTCGGTGGTGGAGTGCACATTTTTATTCTTATTTATTTATGATTATTACTTTGTCAAAATAAATAACAGTTTTTTAAAAACCCACAAAAATAGGGGAAAAAATAATCTCCACTTTTTCCCCTTTCATAACATAATCAAATATTTGTTCTCCTGTGTCTTCCCTGTGCTTTTTCCAGTCTCTTTTGAGAACTCACAAAGCCTCGGTTGTTTTTGTAGGTGCGGTGGAAAACTGAACAGCAGTAGTATGATTGCTGCAGGCATAGATTTTTTTTGGCAAGGTAGTTCCACCCTTTCTGAAGGGGCGTATTTTTGACATGCGCACCTTGATCCAAACGATTCCAAAGTGCTCCAGTTCAGGGGAACAGATTTGGGGACGGAAAGTAGCCTGTTGGTTCCTGCTTAATCGTTTTGGAGGCTATGTGAAAAACCCTTCTTACCTAAACAGCTACCCCTTGAGTCATCAACCTTGGGGCGGGGGGGAATCTAAGGAGCTACCTGACCACAACTGCAGTAAGGTTTCTAATTGCAGCCTGGCCTTAGGCATGTTTCCTGCAAAGTAAGTCCTAATGAGTTCAAAGGATCTAACTACAGTTTCCAAAGAGTAGTAAAGGTAAAGGGACCCCTGACCATTAGGTCCAGTCGGGGCCGACTCTGGGATTGCGGCACTCATCTCGCTTTATTTGACAAGGGAGCCAGCATATAGCTTCCGGGTCATGTGGCCAGCATGACTAAGCCGCTTCTGGCAAACCAGAGCAGTGCACAGAAATGCTGTTTACCTTCCTGCCAGAGTGGTACCTATTTATCTACTTGCACTTTGACGTGCTTTTGAACTGCTAGGTTGGCAGGAGCAGGGACCGAGCAACGGAGCCCACCCCGTTGCGGGGATTCGAACAGCCAACCTTCTGATCGGCAAGTCCTAGGCTCTGTGGTTTAACCCACAGCGCCACCTACATACCTTCCAAAGGGTAGTAGTCAACTACATTTTACTCAGAGCAGACCAATTGAAATTAAGGATCAGGTAAATTCATTTCAGCACAGTGGTACCTCAGGTTAAGTACTATATTCGTTCCGGAGGTCCGTACTTAACCTGAAACTGAAGCACCACTTTAGCTAATGGGGCCTCCTGCTGCTGCCGCGCCGCTGGAGCACCATTTCTGTTCTCATCCTGAAGCAAAGTTCTTAACCTGAAGCACTATTTCTGGGTTAGCAGAGTCTGTAACCTGAAGCTTATGTAACCTGAAGCGTATGTAACCTGAGGTACCACTGTAGGTCTGAGTAGCATTTAGTTGAATGTCACCCATAGAATCTTACCTTAAAGATAACCAAATTTATTATGGCATAAGAAGAGACTACTGTCCATTTATTTAGATGCATCGTTTTTTGGGGGGGGGTGTACACACACACACACACACACACACACACACACACACTTGGCTTGTGGAGATAAGGAGCAAACTTAGTGAGAGGACTTTGGTATAACAGTTGGTTCTGTGGCCGGCCCTACCATTGGGCAGAATAAAGCAACCACCTCAGCCAACAGTTATGATGAGTGGGGTGTGATGGTGAAGTGGGCAAGGGCTATGAGGAACTTAAAGAACGTTTTTCTCACTTGCCTTTATATTTTTAACTATATGCTCCTCAGATTCCTTGGGCAAGGCTTCCACCTTTGACATGAAGAATTTTCTTCTTCTCCTCTCCTTGAAACCTTGAACCCAGGAAGAGCCTGTGTACGTTACTGCTGTACATTACTTTAACAAGAGCAAACACGCTCAGTGGGAGAGGTGAGGCAAAGAGCAGCCACCATTATGGGCAACTAACTCATTACCTCAGAAAGTTTGGGTATGCCCAATGTTATCTTTCTGTACGGCCCTGAACCTTTAAGTGCAGGCTGGTAGTGAGGCTTCCCTTAAACTTTCAAAATGGGTTATCAATTTCCCCAGCACTGTAAGTTCCCCTCTTTTTTGGTTGATATCTTTTTTGTTTTAAAGGATCTAAAGTTTAGTTCCTGAGCATGACAACTTCTGAGAAAACTGCTGTGGAGCTGAGGTAAATGTGAAAATGTTGTTTCTGCTCCTGTCAGCGTGAAGCTCAAGCTTCAGGAGGCCACATCTCAAAAGACATTTCTGTGGAAAGATTGTACTATATGTTATTAATTTCACGACACTTCTGTAAATATCATTTTTGTGAAATCCTTACTGATGTACTGATATCTGTATAAAACCTTTGCTGTGATTCCCTCCAGAGACCTTTGCTAAACAATCTAAATAAATTAAATACAGTGGTGCCTCGCAAGACGAAATTAATTCGTTCCGCGAGTTTTGTCGTCTTGCGATTTTTTTCGTCTTGCGAAGCACGGTGTCGGGAAAGTTTTGGAAAAGCTTCAAAAATCACCAAAGTCTTTAAAAACCTCAAAAAAGGCTACCACACCGCGTTCTATGAGTTGCTCCTCAAAGTCAAGTCGCAACTGTATTAACGGTGTTAAGAAAAAGGAAACAAACTTGCAAGACGTTTCGTCTTGCGAAGCAAGCCCATAGGGAAAATCGTCTTGCGAAGCAGCTCAAAAAACGGAAAACCCTTTCGTCTAGCGAGTTTTTTGTCTTGCGAGGCATTCGTCTTGCGAGGTACCACTGT